TATATATAAGATAGTCAAATTAGAGCAGAACGAATATAATATAGGTAATATGATGTTCATTTACTTGAGTGATGAACGAGGTGGCCGAAAAGTCGAGTAAAAAATCAATTTATTTGCACATGTACAGCTTTTACGATGCCTAAGTTGAATAATTAAATATAAGCTGACATGCTAATATGTACACATATTTATTTTCAACTAATCCGATGTTCCGCCTGAATAAAATGCCCCAAACAGTAAATTTACATTACGTTACTACAAATATATGTAACGATTTAAAAGGGTAAAACCACTGGATAGATCTAAGTTAAACATCATAACAGCAGCTGAACGTATTTCTAATTATGACCCGCACAGCTAGTATGTGTGAACCATATAGTAGTCTACGCAGCTATGGCAGGGCGTAATATGGTACATAACCTACTTACTTAGCATCGTTTGGTGCCGTGAGGGCAAGGCCGGTGAAGAGCAGCAGAACAAACAGCCTCCTCTGAACCGCCATGGCGAATGTAGCTTGACGAAGCATCCGCATGGCCGATTATCGCGTGGTATCGCGTTCCATCTATCCAAAGGCATCGATGACGATAAGCACCAACGATTTAGATGGAAAACCAGAACGCAGCTCCTATCCCGGGGCCGCTTTACGACATTCCCTAGCTCTTCGTATTGATGTTGCTTTCGAGCGCGAAACTATCATGATACGATCGCCGTATGTAACGTAGACGCAACGATAGATGGCCGCCGTATTCTGGAATCGTGGCTGGCCTAGAGAACGGCAGTACTTCTCTTAACTAGCCGCGTTGCCCTCTCTTAGTCGACAAGAGATGGTACGCATAAATGGAGGGTAGTTCAGAGCATTATGTGGGGAAAGGTTAGTTCACCTCGCTGGCCCAGGCTGACGGAGAGGTGCTGGTTCAGCACCGACGCTTACAGAACCTGTCAAAGTTCAACACTAACTGCGCTTGGCTTGGACAGAATAAGCGTACTGATTGCTATTGTAGCCGTAGCAATTTGGGTACATTCTCTCTCTAAGATGATACAAAGCTCTTCTGAGTAGTAATATCTAATGCGACCACAAGATAACTTCTAGCATTACAACCTTCCAAAAAAATTGTGCGAAAACTCCGCCAGAGGTACGTTCGTCTAAAAAAAAATGACCTTTTCTAGGGTCGCTTTGGGAGTGTGTACTGCTGCTCTATAGCACCTAACAAAGTGTATTTTACTTTTAATAAAAAATTGAGAAAACACGTATACAATCCGTTTTCGATGCACGTATTAGATAAAGCATATTTTAATTCAAATTAAGTGAATAAAATTCTGCAAAACGTTCAACATCAAATTTCGTTATCATGATTTAGACCAACTTTGCACTATTTTTTTGTAGTATTTATGATTGAGACGTTACCGTTCTAGTTCTACAAATTGCTTTTTATTCCCAACGATTGTTTATTATCCGGCCAGATCTTCCATATTGATCGGTAATACAATCTCCACTTCATCGACTTCATAACACTTGCCCATCGAGTTCACGATTTAACGTGGATAGATTGAGAAGTCGACAATGTAGGAATTTTATAAAATTCATACATAACATGAGCAAAGGCCAAACTCCCTGTACAAATCAATTAATAGCAGAACTCCTTAAAATGAACCGCTTATGGCCCAGGTATCCTAAAATAAGAGTAGGTGCCGACAAGGCCCCTGCGTGGAGTCGCAGCAAAAACTTACGATTTGAAAATTTAAGCCTCTATTTGTAGAAAATAGTCTAAGACAAATAAAAAAAAAAAAGCTGAATTGAAAAAAACAACGGTTCAGGAATCAGAAACAAAAAGTTGAATGTTATAGGTTTTCGCGTTCACTGTAATTATAATAAGCGGTAAATAGAAGAAATTCAATAAATCGCACCTATCCTAGAGGTGATTTAATGTCTGTAACATCTTTGCCATTCGAGTGTGGCTAAAAATCTAAGTTCCAACAATAACGATCGACTTCAGGAGCAGTTAAACGATTATACATATCAGAAGCATTCATTAGCAGTATACCCCTCGGCACCAGGAATAATTTAGAAACAAGGCAGCTACACCGGCTGTAACAGGAGTCTTCGAGTCCTGCATCAGAACAGTCTGCCTTCGCACATAATACTGCACAAACTCATGTCCCGCAGTAGTTTATGGAAACGTATAACTGAGCTAAAGGTGTCCGTAAGACACAGGTAACTGCAGCGTTGAGGTGGAGCTGGCAGTTTGGGTCAGGCAGGGCACAATTGGGTTTAATTAGAGCTTTTTAGTTCGACATGGTCTGAGCTAGGCAGATCGAGAATTGGAACTTCTTTTGTCGTACAGAACAACCACAAAAATTTGTAGTGGGAGGAAAGCACTGTCCGATGCTAGACAACAATTGGTCTGCAGATGGATATAGGCAGGAAAAGCATTTTAGAATAACTACGGGGATACGTATGACCTCTGTTGGGGTAGCTTTGTGAGAACACCCATTCATCATTTCAATATTGAGCAGTATCACCAAAGTGGTTTCTACAACGATGGTTCTCCATCGAACAGAAACAGTTTCACTAAATTTGTTTTCAAAGTAATTTTTCTATTTTCTCTGATATACTTTTTCAGACCATTTGAATGCACTTTACCTATCTACGTTAGCCCATGAACTTATCCCTTCTGTCATCATATTTCTAGAATAGAAACTTACTATGAGCAATGTACGTAGGTAAATACGAGCACCCAAAAATATTTCCTGAAGTCTTCTACAATTTCTTACCAAAAATATAAAATAGTATTTGTATATGATTTATTCGATGTGACCATCTTTCTTACAAAAGACATTCGAGTTTTTCAATTACTAGGTCCAATTATTATAAGTGGTTGCATGGGTAGCTAATATCGCACATTAACGATAATAGATAGGTAGATCAGCCTGTGTTTTCCAAGGAGTATTTTCAGGTCCTTTACAAAGAAGATGTGAGTTAGATCTTATGACACCTTTATATCTATGAATATGGACAATTAGAAAATCAATAATTAGCTTCTTTTGTCTATGAGCGTTTTCTCGCGTCTGACGTAGGAATCAGGCACGACGGTTTTTGAAGGTACTCGTTAATATGGCCTATTCTGCTGCAGATTCTAGGATATAGTCAGCAATATTCTAAAGCCAGGCCTAAGACGTACCTCACAGTAACTCTGTGCGCTCTTTTCGAAAGGTTTCAAGTTCAAATACAAATTATTATACCCATTGGCTTCACCTGACGCGCATAATACGCATACGTACATCTGTGCTTCTCTTCTTTTTGTCATGTTGGTATGGTACTGATCCTGAGGGGTCTGTAGGTCGGGTGGGTCGTAGACTTGCAGGTACGCAAGCAAGGTCTCTCTGCTCTCCTGCTTATTAATAATCATATATATCGAAGCAGCATAGAGTAGTACGGATTTTTTCACTTATTCCAAACCATGTCTAGTAGTTCCGAAGGAGCCTTTCGCTTTAAACGTAAGCTGCGCTAAGCTGAGTGCACTTCAGGGGTTACCTGTCGCTTAAGCTGTATGTAGTTCCCTCTATTCTGCGATGTTTTTTCCTTCCTCTTGGATGAATTGCGTCGCTTTCCTCCGGCGCCGATAGATGTTTTGCTAGAACAATTATACTGGTCAATGGTATTTTTCCATTACCAATAACGGTAGACACACCATGCAATATATATGTGAGTTATAACATAAATAAGAACGGCTTTTCACCTGCAGCGTTATATCCAAATTCTAGCAATAAATTGATTGACTACTCTCCGTGACGCTCTTTAACCCAATTTATCTATTTTTTCCCGCCGAAAATATCCAAGCCCGCCGTTGAAAGACTCATCCACTGCCAGTTTTTGAGATCCTTTGCTTTGTTAAATTTAATATGCCAGCGAAAGGTGCCTGAGCTCTGGAGAATACGGTGAGCATAGCAAACGATCCGCTTGAGATTTTGCAGGGTTGCCTTAACGACATGTGTTATGTGAAGCATATAATTGTAATAAAGAAGTATGATTTTAAATTGTATGTCGGCTCATTTCTACTAGATGAGTTCGTTCAATCAATGCAACTGGGTTATTTAAACATTTGTGTGAACCATCTTGCTCTTCTCAAATATTTCTTCAAATACGAACCCTATCCAGTCCCATCAAGCGCAAATCATGGTGTTTTTGGACCGGATAATTAGCTTAACTCTAGACTTACGCGTACCTTTCAGGGTTCCTCTTTCGCTACTTCAAGTTGACATGCAGGCATAACTTCTTGTCACCCAAAAAAACTGTGAGTATAAACTTTTCATTACGGCTTTAGTTGAGGACCCATGAAAAGCGCGTTTTTTGTGAGCTTTATCCAGCCTGTGGGGAACCGGGGTCTTTGAGCCTTGATTAAACTTCATAGAGTTAAGATGCTTTACGATATTTGAGTAGTTACAGCCCGCGTTTTCACCTGATTGGCGAGTTATATATCTCCTCTCAGGGTTGATAACGACTTATTGAATCTCAATAACGTACGCCTTTCAGATCGCAGAACCCAGCTCTAAACCTACCTGTCGTAGTATTAGTCAAGCAGTTTCCATAGTTACATAGGGCGCGCTGTACACAGTGTAGACGTTTCGGCCTGCCTCGACAGATATTTGGCTTCAATGAGGAAGAACATAGCGTAGGTACCAAAATTATATCTTCGACTAGAAACATCAATTTTTAAAAGCTGAACTTGACATGAAATTTCATTTGAAGTATAACGATAAAAGCAAATAATACTCTAGAGTGGTACATAGAAACAAGCAAACAGTATGAGGTTACAAGGAAAATAATTAAAAACGCGCTTACTTATTACAACGTTAAAAAATAGTTAGATAGAAAGGTAACCTAAGCATCAGGCAGAGTGTACCTTGTTTTTTTCTATTATTTAAGCACACGATGCTCTGCGTTGCTAGATATGTTTTTCTTTCCAGTGTGCTGTCAAGAAAAGGGTCAGTTACCTCTTATCAGGAACTAAATATTATACCTTCTTGGTACATACGTCATTGCACTAAATTGTTCAGAGTCCGGGAATAAAAAAATTAGAACAACTTTTTTTTGGAGTCGACTTATACCTTTTTGTCAACACTTGTCGTTTTAACCATACACCCTCTTTGCTATGATAATACGAAACTGTTTTTTCCACCTTCACTCGTTGACTGTAGCTGTCTTAATCCATTCCTTTTATTTACTTGCTTTCAAAAGTGTATTGCTGGATTCACGCCTCATCAAACACTACATGTTTTTGAATTTCTCCTCTACATTTTCAAAAACAAACTTAACAACCAATTTTGGTGCGTTACGAGCAAACATGGCGGCATTTTTGAATAGAACTGGGTCATCGCTAGATGCCTGTGCAATGTACTGAGGTTTAGTCGCGTTGAAGGGTCGCGTCATTCTCATGTTTATGCCCACGCCTATATTCTGAGTTTTAAATCTTGGAGTTAGCTCTACTTAGAACAATTTATAAGTTGTCGTGTTCAAAAATGTATTTTAATTGTATTTCTTCGCCAGGTTGTAAAATCATAACAAAACTAGCTATTAATCTATCTACGCCGACGCCATGTAGAATATATATGTACCCCAAAGTCCCGAAAAATTAAGGCTGGTGACATTTCTTAAAGAAAATTCCATATTCGATTTAAATTGTAACAAATAAATATGCTACAGAGTTCATAACAGTATTTACGAAGCAGTCTGAAGTAGTAGTAATAAGTATTTCAACGTAGAAGCTACTCGTAGAGCAGCCCTTGTACACAAGTTAAATAGAGTTTGTACATCAGTTTTCAACGTAACCCTCAATGTCGCATGATATCATTACTAACATATTAGGCCGCGTGATTCGTAGATTTGCTATACAGACGCCTTCATTGAACCAGTTTTATTTTGCTCTCCAGTACCACAGTTCTACATGCGCTCGCTTTATAAGCTGTTATAATAATCGCGTAAAACAAACTAACGGCCATATCTGTTTCTAACGTCGGTAAGTCTGCTTGGAAAATGGACGCCTGAAAGCGTAACCTTAAAACAGACGCATCAGAAGATGAAGGACCAGTGCCATTGGAAGGCAAACAGCCTTCCAATGGCACTGGTCCTTCATCTTCCTGCCTAAATATGTTACGTCCTACAGCAGCAAGTCTTTAAATGGAATAGAGCTTTTCTTGCAAAGTATGCCCGAATAACTATCATGGACATATCACTTTGTGATAGAGTGTGTTACAAATGCGCCACGACTAACAGTGGCTGTACCTGTCAAAACGAATTCGTCTAAGTTCCGATTACCATGCCAAAAAAATCTGTGTCCTAACAGCATTTAAACAAAGTAAGATTTCAAAGGGCCTTAAAGGAACGAGATGCTTCAAATAAAAGTTAGTTAATAGTCAATAATTTAAAGCCCTAGACACTAATTAAGTTATAAAAAAGAGACAACAGTTTCCAATGGTAGATATGGTCTTTACTTTTGTGACACAAACCGCAATCGAACACATTTCATCGAGACGGCAACCATAAGTTCTATCCGATTTTAGCTAAAGTGAAAAACAATGCTAGGTTTGGGGAAATTTATATAGAAATTATGATGTTTATTCGGATGTGTCGCTGCTGATTAACAGCAGTGTTTACAATTACGTCTATGCACATCATTGATAATGTTATAAAAATCTGTTTGTTATTATCTTCAGCGGTGCAAAAGATCTACCTAATAGGACTGTCCCGATGCCAAGTTAAACTTCAGCAATGCCGTAAAAGACAAACGAGCACATAGATCAAATCGATGATTATGGAATTAACAAATTCCGCACTGACCGACACGATGGATAATTGTTGTCTGCTAGTGCTGGACCAATTAGATATTGCAGTCATTGTCTGAACGTTTTTCAAATACAGTCGATGGATCCTCTTCCTCTACTAGCCTATCATGCTTGGCTGTGGAACTGCGAGAATCTTGAGAGATTCGAGCACTTAACGCTGACAGTTGCTTTTTCACCGACGCATGTCTATTCGAAAGCGACTGCTTCTTGCCCGATTTGCTCGAAACAGATGTGCTTGTCTTTGGTGTGGTGTTCGACGAAAGCCACTGGCTACAGACCCTCTTTATAACCCTAACAGCCATAAAGATGCTGATGATGAAAATCGTTGCGATCGACAAGCCCACTCCGATAATATACTGAGGGGATATGCAACCGGAGCAAGTTTCGATTAGCGGGCGTGAACCCGACGTGTGTGTGGCCGTGTCCACGATGAGAGTTTTGCTTTCGGCCACAGGGCGGAGTGACCCAAAAACAAAAGCTCGGACACTCACCTGATAAATACTGTTCGGCCACAGGGTGACAACTCCAACGTTGTTATATGTTGTCAACTGTCCGGTGATGTCGAGCGCTTGCTCGGTCCGTTTCCACTGAACTTCATACCGAATATCTGCGTCATAAGATACACGCGACCAGCTTAGGACAGCATCAATTCCACCTAGATGTTTAGTTGAATGGCGCAGAGCCTGAAGTACGGGCATCCATTGACTTCGGTGATTTTCTAACTCAAGCGAAACATCGCCTTGGTGACGTTGACGCGCGCTATCTTCGAGGTATCCTTCGTCCCGAAGGGTCTCTCTGCTGTTTTCGCTATGGAAATCAAAGTCAGAACACCATTGCTCTATCTGACCTACTTGGCCATTGGGGCTATAAGCAGTTAGTTGAAGTTTTGATGACAACTTGAGAAGTCCACGCCGCATTGTGACGTTCGTGTAGAACGTCTGCGTTAATTGCTGCCAGTTTGAAGTAAGTTGATCCAGTATTAGCAGAACGTAAACCAATGGCTTGCCTCGGATCTGCTTCGTTTCGGAAACTGACCAGTCGAAATGGATCGCATCATCCGCTTTTCTGTAGCTATATTTTAGTGGCGGCATGGGATGGACGTCCATATTTTTTGTCGTCTCGGTGTAGTTGGAATGTAAGCGACGGAAGTTGCATGCTTCCTGACAACCAGGAAACTTGAAAGTGCAAAAAGGAGAACCGAAGGTGGGCATTACATTACTGAACTTTACCGTTTAGTATTGAATCTCGCGCTGGTAAACTGTTTCCATTGTGCTACTTAGTACATAGATGAAGAAACTTATGTAATATCTAAAATAACGAAAAATGTGTCGCAAAACAACAAACATTTGTGAGCGAAATCTAATAATATTAATAATAACTTACGCAAAGGTGTTTATTATTACACAAGGGCGCCCACGCTTTGTATCTCTTGTAGACCAGACTGCAGGAATCCCAGCACTGAAAATGCATAGTATTTTTTTTATGAGATCTTCACCTTATTTCGTAGAATATCGGTATCTACAGTTAAGAACTTGTATAGTCGGATATGGATAAATAAGCCCAAACAGACTTTACCGGTACATAATACAAATGCAAATTACGGCAAAATTATGGTCTCGCTAGTATAGCGCGATTAGAATTAAATGGTTAAAATAAGTACCATAATGTTATATCTTACCATCCAGCATTCGCCGTCGTCGAAGCAATTATTTTCCGACCCAAAAACATAGAACTGTTCGAAAAAAAAAAGAAACAAAAAACATAGTTTATGAAGTTTGTCGGTAACTAAGTTAGCGCTCGGATCTCCCCTAGATGATCGATAAACGATAAATGAGGTTATTTTGGCGCCACTTCAGACGATTGCTCTGTCCGTAACGATCTTAGGACGCTCTCGTTCGAACGTCTTCAATACTGTGCACAAGAAGTTACTATTATGTGGTTCAGAAATACAGTTTACGATAATGCCAGTGTTTCGATAGCTCAGCTAATTCAGAAATAAGTCCTAGATACGGAGCTCAGGTAGTCAAAATCATTCTGATCCCGCCATTACAGGTGTCCGAAATTAACGAGGCCGCGCAGACTAAAGGAGAAACTTTGGAAAATATTAACTTGTTTTCGGCACAGGGTACATTTTTGTACAACTTTTGTTCGCCGTTGACGACAGTCGAAATAACGCTCCCTGCTGCCTTTCACCTCGAAGATTACCCCCTCTGAAGAACTGATTAGTATATGTAAACCTATGCACTGATGAACCTTGAGTTGAGCTATTTAGCTCGCAGATGGCTTCAGTCCCATAAGGCAACGTATACATACCGTCATAAAAAGGCATTTGCAGAGGTACGAATTTGAAGTCTTCCTCAGACAGTTGTAATCTCAATTTCTGGTTAGGTCGATCAGCATGATCGTAGTTACTTACCTGATTGAGACATTGAGCACGGCACCTGGCCATCATCACGTGCGTTTTTTTGTCAAAGGCCTCGAAGGCCATTGTCCTTACCAGGACAGCAGCATACAGCACTAGAATAGCCATAGATCTGTTATGGTGTACTACACGCCTTACAGTGAGAAACAAATGCACGCGGCGGTTCAGCTCAAACTCTTAAAACCAGTACGCTTTTGAATTGTTTGTGAGTGAGGGCCGGCCAGTGATGAAAATAACTGAACGGTAATAATTGTACTGGCTTAGTTTTGACTTCGATCGTAACTTCAATCTCAAAAATAAGCCCTGATTGAATTGGCTCTATTTGTGACTGCTTATTATGTCAATTACTATACTTCGCTTCATTGGTCCCAACTTACTCAATCAACTAACTTTTCTAGGAACTTTGCACTGTTACGGACCCAATTGTTTTTGCACTTTACGTGATATCCAATAAACATTTGGCCATGCGGTCTTTTTCAAAAACTGAAATTTTGAACGGCTGCCATTATGCGAGTATCGATGTTCTCATATTATTCTTTCGAATATGTGCCAGATATCTAATTTATCAATATAGTCGACTTGGATCTAGAGCTCTAGCAAACCTATACAAAGGGAAGGTTGCAAACAGAAAAACAGTAAGAAAGAGAACTGGTGCAAAACTCGTGTGCTACGATGGGAGGTTCCACTTGAAACTCTTTACAAATTTTCGTCGTTTAATGTTTCTTCGAAACAGTATGCGGTGCGATTGTTAAATGGGGTTGCTGGGGTGTTCCCCAATAACTAGTCCCAGATATCTGAGCCCCCTGGCTCGTTAATCACCGAACTAGTTTCTAGGTAGATCACAGCAAAATCAGTACGACTGTGATCACAGACAGAATATCAACGTAACGATGGATTCTATGAGGCTGAAGATTATTTTTACCCAGGCTTGCTTATTAAAGCAGCCTTCTTAGATATATAATTGAATGTCATAATTTTTTTAAGTATTGAACATGCTGCATATACGAGGTCAGTTTCTTTTACAACAATATTCGTAATGCAATGTTACCTATTCAATTCAATTCCGAAAGACATCTGACATGGATCTGAGCGTATAATTGGGCCATAAGCACATTCCTAACTACGGAACCCTAGACTTACTTAATTCTCAACCAATAAAGAAGAAAAAAGAACGCCACAATGTAAATTATTATAAACATTTATACATTTAATAATATATTTCTATTTACTTACACCATTTACTTTTCACACGTTCACAGGCTCACATAATGCTTTATAATACTAATTATTATAACCCTACGTAATCGTATAGTGGTCGTATATTTAATCGATCATGTAATAAATACATTTCCACACCATCATGTTTCAACAATAGGAATATAAAACTTTTTGGTATTCGTTACTCTATTTGCTTGGTCGAAACGATCATCTTTTTTTGTTTTTTCGTTTTGGATCGAATGCCAAGCTCCTAAATCTCTCACAAGATGTAGAGAACTGGCCCTAATAACCAACTTTACTTAACAAACACTGTTTTTGTGATGTTTTCATTAAGGCTGCATTATTCTTACACTGGTTTCATTCCTACGGGTCTTTGCGACTATACACGTTGTATAGTATTGTTGCTGAAAGGTTCCTGGAATCGCTTTGCTCTATTCACGGTTGTCGAGGTTGTGTTATTGTGATTTCTGTGCCTTACACAAGTGTTCCCTTTCTACTTTGGATACATCACACACGGCTGTGTCGTTTGCTGAAAACAGACTCAGACTCTTTGTCACTCCTGTCAGATATATTATCATCGTACTCATATATGTATATATTTATGGTGTTTTGTGTGTATATCTATAGATCTGTGGTCATGTGTGTGAGGGTTATGTGACTCATGTCTCCATGCTTGTACAAACTGCGGCTTATTATATCAACAAACTCAAATGTCATCAGCCATCCGGAACTCTATCATGTACATACAAGATATCGTAAAGTCTCCTATTTGCAGTATAGCAGTAATAATGTACAATTTTTTGCTTATTTAATAATACAGGTCAGGATAGTTTCTTAGTGAGCTAAACAGCCCCTCTGGAAAATGTAACCATGCTCACAAATCGCTTCCCTTTACTTCTTTCGGTATGGTTGCGCTACATTTCATCGTATATATGTTTATCTTCTATTATCAGAACTAATTACAGTAGGAAAGCTCTCGTCACGAGTTGTAGATCTTGTGAACTCCTCGCTTATGCTCCAGTAAAGTGTCGGACCTTCCGAAGGCCTTACCACAGAGATCACACACGTACTCGGCTTTGCCTGAATGGATCTTCTTGTGCCGGGTCATAACACTATGCAGTCTGAACACCTGCAGTGATATGACGTTTATTGGAGACAAAATACTAGTTAAAAGGGCAAACTGGAGATCGATGGGAGTCGAAGATTCATAATAATAATGGAATTAGCTTAAGGGATAATAGCTGTTTGTGTATGGCCAAAAAAACGAATCTTCAGGAAAAAAAACGTTACTTAACGTTCTTGTGGCAATATGAAACACATTTTCTAGTGCAAAAACTATCACTGATTCAAAGACAGTGACTATTAATACGTTTTGCTATGGGATGATTCGACAAATCAGTCGATCTGTGTGGTCAGAAAGATTCACTTGTACAGATTGAATGCTGTGGAAATAGACGAATAACAACCAATGCTATAAACATTACTACACCAACAAAGATACATCATAAAACGCCGTTATTTTGTTTGACGTGAAACCCCTAAATAGAATTATTATTAAAATAAAAATTAAATAGAAATAGAGCTGTCTGTGTTGCCCTTGCCAACGTAAATTAGTACATGTTGCAGAAAATGCACCTTGCATTTCCTGAACGCCATTTTCCTACTCGGTCAAAATTTCGAGCTAACTCCACCTCATATTGGATGATAGTAATGGTTGTCAACTAATGGCGTAGCAATGGCCTTTTGTTTAGCGATGGTCCAAACTCCACGTCTTACATTTATGGAATGCATCCATTTTATTCATTATTATTCTGCTATTTAGGTAGATACTTATCTCGCTGCTCTAAATGTCTATGGTACGAGCCCATGAACTCTTGAAACGCAGTTTTCATAGGTTAGGATTTGAATAATTTTCCTATTAGGATCCTATCGAGGCCCTTAGAAAAAGTGGTGGAAGCAACGCCTAGCAGGTGTAATGGATGACAGAGGGCCATTGTGATACGCGTAGTGCGAGGTCGAGCAGAGTCGTGCTGGTGATAATGGTGCACCCCCGTTCACTAATCTTAGCTGCCTAGTGCAAAGTTTTTTTCATCATCTCGTCTAACTGCTGCACTATACTTCAGCCGTAATCGAAGAAACGGTACTCATTAAGCTGTAATAGATAGAACCAGCTTTAAACCCCCCTAAATAGACCCCATATTGTTGTAGCCATGCATTTGCTTTATGGTGATATTCCGGCAGTTCAATCGCAGCCTTTCACTGATGTGACCATTCGCGATCATCGCAGGGGACCCGGTTTTTTTTTTTTTTTATTATAAATCAACTCTGTTACAGGAATGGATCACCGTAACGGCTGGAGAGCAAAGAGTAACGTGCCATTACTTTTCCAAGTCATGTGGCATTTATTTGTCAAATTCGTTAATTTCATCAATCTAATCAATATAAATAAGTGCATACTTTTTACGCACACTCACGAAACGGACGCACTTTAAGATGGACCGGCTTCTACTACAGTTTTTTTTGTGATACAACTTTGAAGGGGGTGAGGGTCTTTTAGGTTATTGAATTTTGGGTTCTCTCTCTCCGGAGCTTTTCGAATCATCGGCTCGCGGTTTTCTAGTAGAAGATCTTTCATCGAGTAAAACGGCCAACTGCCTCCGTCACTGTTATTCCCTACCATTCGGTTATCTGGTTTTCCGTGGGTCACTGCCATTTGCTTACTAAAAATACGAGTATCAATACCCGAATGAACGGTCTCAAGAGCACTTCAAATACAGAAAAAATATTGCCAAAAATCGCACCGTTATAAAAAAATATATTAAACGACAAACATTAACCATATATAGACGTGGTTAGTGTCTGTCGCATTTCATACTAAACGACCTAATGTCATACATGGCAAAGCTTGTCAAAGATGAGCTAACAGTATTTAACATACCTTGTGACAAACTGGACAGGGAAAACCTTCCTGACCAGTGGCTGGGTCGATTTTCGGCCTCGGCAGCGGAAGGCCCTTTGGTTCAAGTCGCGTGAATGGGAAAAAGTGGCTAAGTAAGAGATCTGGGCGCAGGATGGCACCTTCACTCAGAAGTCCGTGTTCCGCCAGCAATTCAGCTGCTGCCGCTGCTGCAGCTAGGTAGATGAAACCCCCCGGTGGTCGATTTGTCGATCGAATTTAGCATGGTACAAAGACAAACAATCGAGACGTAGACAGTAATTCTGTCAGTGATCATGCTACTCTTTCTATAAGAAACTCTTCATTTCAATCTTCTGCAATATACAAGTGCCGCAGCGCTCTCATCTGCTTGACATGATGCATGTTTACTCTCAATCCTCGAAATAACTTTAATGAATGTACAGCTACATGTTTTTTTTCCACAGAGAATCCATTCATATACAGCAGAAGCAACACTGTTTTCTTAACTAAATTTTTCGTATATACGTTTGAAGTGCGTACGACGATAGTGGTCGAATAAACCGAAATTTATTCTCATTTTTTGATATCTCCACACAGATCATGTCTTCACAATGCAGGTGCAAGGAATGTGTGAGATGCGAAGGGCACGGGTGCAGTGTTAAGAACTTTGTGACCGTAATTCCTAACCAGTGTCTTCTGTGCCGATTCAGAAGCTCGTGCATTCGGATTAAATGACACAGCTAGCCTAATTTATTAGAACTTTATTTAGTACAAGAATGTATGTATATGCTTGCTGAGGACGACACTAGCAGCTGAAGATTGCCTGCTCTCTCGTCGATCATTTAGCATCCACCATAGGCTTCGCGATGGTAGTCAACTTGATTCTGAACACTTTGGTATCAGCGCGCAATTCAGAGATCGTCAAGCCAGAAGAGAGGTTACGGAAGATTGTAGCAAGCTGATAATCTGAAATGGAGATAGGCTGTTATTTGGCACGCACCACAAGCCACATTGGTTAGCAAAACAAAGAAGCTCGTATTCAACAATATTCGAATGGATGTTTTGTTTACTCAACTGAAACACACGAGTTCGATATAATAGAACGAATGTAGCTCTGGGAGTAACCACTACGCTAAAAGGGAAAAAGTAGCTTGGTCTTTAGTTATGCGTACTAAAATACATTTTTTTCATAATGAATATATACTGGAACCGACGTAAAGAACAAATGAAAGAAAAAGATCCGTGCGAAAAGGTACGTTTGATAATTTGTTTGTTGCCTTTTTTTATTGAAATGGGAGATCCCGACAGGATACTGTTCTGCTCGCTACGTCTATCAATATATATTTATATATATGTACATATACAAGATATCAGCGCCGTCGAATACTTTCGATTCTCGTGTCCTCCGCCGACGTCCGTGGTTTTTTTTACTTCACTTTTGGATTCTCAATCAGCAGCTGATCCATACCTTTTTCGCTTCCAGTTCTTTGTTTTGGTTCAGTTAAATGTATCTAGAAAGTTTATTGGTCTAATTGTTGGTATGTTTATTTATCTTTGCTCCGTCTCTGTCAAGTTCACAAAGAATTGTCTTCTTTCGCTAGTACTTTTGTTATTTGCTATTTGTTATGCAAAAACATAAATCATTTCACGTTCTCTGTTTTTCCATATTTAGGTTCTGTTCGTGGGTTAACCTTGAAGACTTCTGTCGTAAATTTTCGTTGCTATTTTCTTCATGTTCTGTATTGTTGTGTCTACTAGATCTATCTTTGTTTCGACTACTATTTCTTTAATTTATTTATCATTATCCTTATAATAGTTTGTATATATTTTCTTTTTAAATATAATTCTATATATACTAGTACAGTTTTTTTTTAGTTAGATGCTTGTTGCGCCTTCACCTCGAGACACATTCAAAGAAAAGTTAATGTCGGCTCAGCCATTTTCGCATAAAGAACAGTGTCTGCGCCTTGTCTATGTTATCTTCTTGGCCACATATTGTCATTGCTTTGTCTGTCTTCAATGTGTCTATGTCAATCATACGGTTTGTGTTTTTCGTGTCTTATCTATTCGTGTGGAGATTGCTTTCATTGGCTATTCATTAGCTACTGCTATTTTTCGTTTCAATCAGGTTTGATTTACCTTTCACCCTCGTTCGTCCTTTTCATTCTTCCATCTCCAGTCTACCGCTCATTTTTAGCATGGGTAATTACTTTTCATGATCCCCATAATTTCAATACGACTCTATATTCAACTTACGCTATATTTTATGTGTTTGTGTGTTTATTGTCGCTTTTCCTTTATGTTTTCACTTGTTACTGTGCTATTACCATCACTATTTTTTGCGCTGGCTAATTTGCCTGAATGTATCGCGCGAGGTTCTAGTGACACCCACCTAATAACCTTTTTATGTATTTTTCTCTAGTTTTTCCCGCTTTCTCTCACAAACATGCAGTCATACATAGAGCTCCACTACCAGCCCCTATTGATACCCCAAATGTCTAGTAGATATAATATTTATATCAATTCTCTTTCCTTATCTTCTCTCATGATAATTTTTTATAGCTTAGAATACATGTATACATTAATATACTCGTTACTGCGTATTTTCCACCAACATCATCGCCGCCATCGTCATAATCATCATCATTACCATCAAGCATAATGTATGTAACTTAGTTCGTTCAGTCTTAGTCTTCCTCGTCTCGGGCGCAAGAAGGTCCCCTGTGCTAGGCCTACCATCAACCCTGCTTTCAACCTAACTACACAGGCTCTCTCTCGCTTTCTCTCTCGCTCTTTCTCTCGCGCTCTCTCTCCCCAGCTTGCGTCTCGTTGTGCGGCCCGATATAAGTGACAGAGTGTCATAATGGCTAGTGGCAGATACACAAACGTTCAAAAAAGTGAAAAGGGCTAGAAAATTATGAGTGCGTATTTACTCCGCCGGGTACTATCTGCGGGCCGTTCCGGCTAACAACCGTTCGTTTCTGTTCGTGCCTCTTTCCCTGCTCGGCAACAATACAGCCGGCATTGTTCAGTAGTTTTTCTACGGAATTCACAACGGCGATCAGTCGTCTGGTAGGTTGATTGATTGATTGACAGATGTATGATGCGCGTATATATATATATATATATATATATATATATATATATATATATATATACTTAGATAAATCATTGTACCACGCAAACGAACAGTGATGACCAGAACTAGTTCATACAGCAGTCGCTTCAGCAGTGGCAGATGGCGGCCCCTACTATGGCAGGGCCTTCCGCGTCCAAGATTCGGATCGTATTTATATTTTATATATAGACTTTTTTGTTTTGTATATATCTATGTATATAAGTATATGACAGATTGATGATAGCCATCGAGAAAACTAGAACTTGTAGTCACCCTCCACCATCTCAATGGCCCATCGGAACTTGTCTCGTTGGGTCTTGTTGTAAACCTTCTCAATGGGTACGCCCCACTTTTTGCACCAGGCTACAGATATGCGGGGATCGAGATAGTTGAGCTTAGAGGTGCCGAGCGCGATCTGCTTATTTTCTTCACGGTCAGTAGCTTGCACCTGAAGTTTTTTTAGTTGATCTTCAAGTGTCAGTAGACGTTTATGCTTCTTCTCGGCGGTCGCTTTGTCAGCGTGCTTCTTTGCTTCCCGATACTCACGCTTCGCCTGTGGACCAATCGTCCAAACACAGTCAATGAAAAACGATATCAGTCTAAGGAAACAAATTGTAACTGGTTTGTGTGCAACCTAAACACATTAAACAAACGCATAAAATATGTTTGGCGCCAAATTTCCGATATACAAAAACCCAATGGAAATTACCTATTTTCAATCAATGAAAACATAGCGAAGAGATTAATAAACTACTTCATTATGGCCGAGGGGAACCATTTTGATATAATTGGAACCCATTATGGAACTGCAAACATTTCGTTGTAGTTCTTTAGGCAATTAGATACGCAGCTTAGGGTCACGCTAGTTTTTCTTACTGTTCTCCTATGGGTCCATCCTAAATGGAGCTATCCGAGGCGACCAACTCCACACGAAGAACTAAGCACCTCGTTCATTATTATATTCATATAATTCATTCTATTCATAAAATCCTCGTTCATCCGAAGTTAACTTCGGATGAACGAGGATTTTTATAAGGTCTCCGTGATAAAACTAACTCTCCAGCTAATGGTGAACTAATCGATTAAATCCCTGTTCTAGGTAATCTCTATGGGAGGCATTACGTGTTGAGTCATTTGTTCCGAAGTCGTGTGTTTGGAAAGCAATATTTGCTAATAACAGGTGCTATTTGAGTTACTAAAAGTGCCCAAAGGTCACCAAAAGTCAGTCTCTCACCTCGATGATTTGATCCTCTTTTTCATCAATCTTCTTCTGAAGATTTTCCATGCTCTTTTCAAATGTCTTAGGCACCGCCCGTTGATGGTTACAAAGTACGGCAACGGCCCGATTCGCCCTATTGTATGCTAGCATCTTCTCGGCTATCGACATGTCAGGATCGGTCAGCTGTTCAAGCTGCTCCTGAAGGGTCTTTGAGGCATTATAGGTACGGAACACCTACAGCGCATCATGGATGACAAATCATTAACATATGACAGGAATTCGTTAGTAGCTGAATTAGGGATATCGGAATGAAAATAAACGAGAGATAATCGGAAGTCGTTGAAAATGTAAAAAAAAAAAGTGCGAAATGTACATAGTGTATGACATAAAAAATTGAATAAATCTTGACACAACGCGATGCAAATTTGTGTCTTTCACCGGCTTACCTTGGCCGTCAATCCTTCCATGAGCTCGTTGAGATGTTTGTTTAAGATCGTCGTGTTTAGTCGGTCAAAAAGGTCATCGCCAGGTTTCTTGCCTTCACAGAATAGCTTAACATTTTTATAAACCCGCTTTTCGACTGGAACGGCGTTCTGATATCGGATGGAATCCTTTCCGAGAAAGTCAAACTCCACGACATTTTCCTTGCCATCCAACTCATCATGCAGTCGGATGTGTTCAACTCGCAGCGAGCAGCAACCTACGGTATCGGCCTGCTCATCAGAGTCCTTCTCATTACCCGCTCGAAGAGCCAGCTTGTCGATAAAATAAAGTGCGACGGCTCTTTGTCGAATGCGCATCTCCTTTGATTTCCAATCGGCCTGATAGTTATCGCGAATACTTTTTACACAGCTTTTAAGACGGCGCGCCGTCTCATACTTTTGGAAATCCTTCTCACCTTTGAGCTTCGACGAGGGGTTGAGCATAATATATTTGTTGCTACCAGCGATATTCTCTGTCCAGCAGCACAGCCATGTTACGGTATTGTCATGCCGAACCTCTTTCCATCTATGGCCTTTTGGTGGCGGGGGTATAGGAGCATCTTTGCCGATGTTGATGATCACATCCTCAGGTTGCGTGCGTGTTTTGAGTTTGCCCATTTTGGGGTGCTCACCACGCCCTCGGAACAGGCCGGGCGGCTCAATCTTGAAATTACCAATTTTTTGCTTGTGCCCATCAATGATACAGAAGCCATACTCCTTTATCTGTGCCTCATTCTTTTTCTTCTCCTCTAATTTTTCGTCTTTAGTGCGGTTCTTGCGCAGCTCACTAAGTTCTTTAAAGTAGCTAGCCATCTTGCTGAAGTCGCACTTTTTTAGGTCACTTATTGTTTCTTTTTCCTGTGCTGTCATGAATTTCCGCCAATCGTGGAAAAAATTTTTATTAAATGCCTCCTTCTGTGTATAGTCGTGGTCTAACATGCGCGCATAAAACGTGGCGATCTCCTCAGCCTCAAGGCTAAGCTTTATCCTCTTTCCGTTGTAGAAGAAAGGCACATTGTCTGGGAGAGGTTCGTAATCTGGGGCGAATACAGGTCCCTTATGTTCCAGAGTATTCCACTTGACGCCCTCCGGCTAAAAGCAATAACACCGACAACGCCAGTTACAACAACGTGAATTGGACATCTATCTCCTGCAGAATGCGTCGTGAATGAAGCAAATAGTAGTACCGCAAAGATATTTTTGTAATCAGAAAGTACAGCAGATCAGCTCTACTTGAACTCCGAACATAAGCACCGTAATTGGCAACGGTCTGTACCCAAAAACAACCCTTTAGCAATAGCTTTGTGCGCAATAGATAGCGTATAGACATAGACACGCACACACAATGTCGATATAGAAGTTCACTTTCTAACTACAAGAACATTGTGATAGTCAAATATCGTTTAAAGGTTAGACGTTACATACTGTACGTATGTTGCAACTGATGTTGTAATTCCGTGTGGCGCCTTCAATGATCAATAGAGTATTCTGTTGCCTACCTTTTTGTCTTCTTCCCACCACTTCCAGACGTCTTCCTCTTCTTCATCAGCCTTTCTTTTCTTCGGTGAAACTGCTTCAGCGTCCGTCGATGGTCTGGCACCTACATGATTTACCGTCGATTGTAGCCGGGTGCAACAGTGAACAGGGCCCAATTGAAATAGGACGAATAAGGAACACACGACAAACAAACAAACAAACAAACAAACAAACAAATATGAATTATTAGTACTCACCAATTTCGGGCTCGATGGCTAGATCATAGCAACTTAAGGTAATAAGTAACACAGAAGGACACACAGCAACACCTGACCACTGTGACTCTACGATAAAATAGATATCCGTCTTTCTTTCCTAGATTGAAATCGCAGTATGACACGTACTAATAGAGCGGATCCATTTGCCATTGTCAGATATAAGTTTTTCCCATTGTGAACAGTGCGGAAGACGTGCCCGAGAAGAAGGCTCTCCCTTAGTGCACTTTCACTCGGTATTAGCATGGTGATCATCACGACAAATGGATATGACGTTTCTGCTTTTTAATTAACAGGCTAAGTCTACTTCGGCACTCTATTCACTTAGACAACACCCGACGGCAATATGAAGTTCATACACATTGAACACACGATGTAACGATCCTTTTGTTACTGTATGAAATGTGTTACTTGTACTAAATCCGTATAACGCAACACCATTAAGTTACTAGATCGGCGGAGGAAACTGATTTATTATATGGCCTTACGTATCACTTACAGAATTCACGCAATGAATGACACACAAGCAAACGAAGTTCGCATCGGCATAGTCTCTCGCAATGCTGGATATTTGTAGCAGCGGGTATGCATCACACGGCTACTGTAAATAATCGCCAATCAACTCAATATTACAATTGGCGTTGTAGCTTGTATATTCGTTCGTTCGAAATTGTGCTGTTGCTTAAGAAGAAGCCTAGCTGCTGCCGCTGCTATCACCCTTTCGCGCGAGCGACTTGTGTCCGTCCGTGCCGCGCGCAAGCAGTGACTGACTGTTACGGATAGCACTGCTGAGTGACGGAGCGACCAACACCGCCACCACAATCAACAGCAGTGACAGCAACTAACACGGGGCGCCACTGCTCCCTCGCTACGACCATTGCGCCACCGGCCGCGGCGACGTCCTCATCAGACAGCTTGCCAGCCAGCGTGTCTCAACGCGACGCGAAAACTCAACAGTCATTCAGCGTAAGCAGCCGGCTAGAGCAGCAAAAGAAATTCAACGAGTTGCTACCCCTACATCAGCATCGGCTTAATAATGGCCAGTTTTAGCAAGTAATAGCCGCGGCCGCAATCGCCGTCTTGGCCTGTAAGGCGACATGGCTAGCGATGGCTGTTACGAAGTAGCCAGACCCCTATGGTCGATGTAGCCACGACAGCTCGAGGTGGAGCAGGTGCCTTAACTAGTGCTCGGCTCAGTGCTGCTGCAGAGCGCGAGGCAAGACGCTGCTAGGAGCCATCGCTGCCGTCAATTCTTGATCACTGGGATAGAACCGTAAACAGCAGCAGCACTCTAACAAAGTGATGAACAATATACAATAACCACAACTACGACTACAATGATCAGCTATTTTACGGCAACGACAAGGACCACGATAAGTTCCATGCTCTTTTTAATAGTCGTTGCGACGACAGCAACAGCAGACTATAGGCTATATTGGTGGTGATAGTGTTCCGTACGTATTATATCCTACGTACGTGCTATGCTATATATATGTAATAGTGTGATTGGTGACTGCCTGAAGTTGTTTTCGTTGCTTAAGCGACGGTAGCAGCCTTTGCAATATACCGTAGTCACCCGCAAGAAGTCAATAAGCCAGCCACCGTCGGTGAGTCTTCCCCCAGCTTCTTCTGGCTTGTATGGACGAGCGCTTGTGGCGCTCTGCTCCGTAACGCCTGACCGCCCGCCCGCCCGCTCGTCCGTCCGTCTGTCCTCTTCTGCCTTTACCTTGCCCTAACAACAGCAGCAGCAGTAGGAGCAACCGTAACGTCTTTGCCGCTTCAAACGAGCACACAAGCGACAACCAAGTCGGTATGTGCTTCTGCTGCTGCAGTTCATTCGTTCCGGCGATGCTGCGGGCGCTGAGCGTGACGGACGATACCACGGAGCGGGCGCACGAGCGCGCACCGTGACCGCTGGTGCTGCGAATCAACTTGAACAACTGCGGCAACGAACGCACTCCTTTGCTTCGTAAATCACCGCCGCTGCCTCGATTCAGCAAGGGCAATCGACTGGTCGAGCCGCTTGCAAAGCGGCGGCGACGGCAACGCTAAGCGAAGTTAGACAAGACAAACGGACTAGCAAGTGGCGTGCGTTAAGCCAACGACGACGAGGCATGCTTTGGCAGCGACGGTTGTGCGCACGGCGGCGTGCCCGCTCAACAACGACAACGGCTATAAGAACGACGTCAATGGCAGCGACAGCGTCAATAGCCATTGGAGCAGTAACAACTACACGGCCGATGAGACTTACTGCGGTCGCCTACTAACGTTACAACTACTACTACTAAAGTGGCACTCTACTCCTAAAACAACCCAGCCAATAAAACTAGACGCCACTGAAAAAGAGTGAACCCGACAATCGCAGGCAGGTATTGTATGGGCTAACATAAACATACACATCCAGACGTAATGTTTCTTATACAGATAATACTGATTCTGCAGCTACAACAGTGACTTTTCTTACAATAGTGACGATCTTTTCTTGTTAGCGCGCCTGACGGCTGCCTTTGTAGCAGCCGGCACGGTGAACGATGCGGCTGCGCAGTGCCGATATTCACAGGCACAACGACACGCACACGTCGAACCGGTTGAGTTGGACTCCAACACGGAACGCACGTTAAGAAAGCAAGAAAACAAAAGGTACAGAAGCAGCAGTGGAGATCGAGGCGGAGCCATGGAGCAAATCAAAGAGTGAGACGGGGAACAACGTGGCCAAATGGCAACTCATACAAGTGGCAGCAGCGACTAATTTATCCAGTAATATATACTTCGGTCAGCAGAAGCGACTGGAAATCCAAAGCCTGTTTGTAGTACTACTCATCATTTCTACAATAGTACGGTCACTATCGCAATAGTAGCGCTCACAGTGACTGGTGCTGCTTACCGGTCATCCTACCCGACATAATCTCAAAATGCTGATGCCCGTAAGAACAACCCAATCACTACAAAACAGTGCAGCGTCTTCCATTGACAGCATCAGTACGAAGACGTCAGCACATATTGGGCACGAACTACTGCAACAGCAGCTGTAGTTAGGCATAGTAGCAGGAGAACGCCTGCCTGCTGCTTGCTGGACTGGTGCGGAACACGTAAGGGAAGCTACTGAACCGGTTGAGAAGAAGACAGCGCAGCGTGACGGGGCTGTCATAAAAAAGTCGTCGGGAGGAATTCGGAGCCGAATGATCTGTGATCGGCGGGCGACAAGAGGGCGGGCGGACAGGTGGACGAACGAACAAGCGAACGTTCCGACGACAGCAAAAATAGTAGCAGCAACATGCAATCGTGGAATCGGCACGGTCCCCTGAACAAGCCGGGACGGGCAGTGCCGCCTTATTTCGACTACTGGTTATCCCACTACCCTGCTAAAGCAACGACGCTAGTCAACAACACAAAGAAGAACGAGAACAACAACGGACACGCTGAAAACGATCTGGCTCTCGCAGATCAGTTCTAAGCTCTCGTGCTACTGGAAGGATCTTCCCATCTTTCTTGGAGCTCTCGATAGTCCGCACGAGGCAAAAAGAGGCAGTGCGAAAAGGCATTTAACCATTGTAGGTCAACCACTGTTACCCCCCACTGCAAACGTTACCACCAGCTGTGGTGCTGCCAAGCCGACCATGCATGGCTGACGTGCGCGGTCCGGTTCGCCCAAAAGAACTCCGGAACGCGGTAGGATGAGACAGCCAACCCACAGCGAAACATAGTTGACTACGGCACAATAGTACGAGGATAATAACAGATGCGCAACGCAACAGTTGTTGAACTAAATGGACTACGAGGTTTATATTAATGGAGGCGGAAGAGCCTGACCCGCAACGTGCCACCAGGATCATCACGGAAGGGGGATCTAACCATTAAGAATAGTTGTATTGCGGTAAATTACAAAGATAGGCATGGCGTTGTCGTTGTTGCCTCCTCCTGGTGCTCCGACGAGTCTTACGACGATGATTGGACGAATGGACATGGATTAATGTCAACAATCAACAACAAAATCCCGGTCAAGTATCACAGAGCACAGACAATCCGCAGAATTCTGCCTTGTTCAAAGTTTATTTATTACAATAACCACCAACTGATTCGACCCAACACAAAGTAACCCGGAACCAGTCGCTTCCATCAAATCTTAAGGAGCTACTCTTCAATGTCAACCAGTAATAACCGACCGCTACGGCTTGTTAAAATTCAATGGTAATGCGCATCCATAACTATATCTACACGTTATTAATTCTAAAGGCATAAATACATATGTAATTCGACTCTCAGCAACTAGCCAGCCACTGGTCACTGCAACGCGGTTTACCTGTACTGAATTTCCCCTTTGCCCACATCCCACCGCTCTACCAAATGACATAGGTTTTATTGCAATGATAGAAATTGTTTTTTAATATAATTAAATAAAGAATTGCGTTTCAAATATGGTATATTCTATATGAGTAGAAAAGTTATCAACTGGCAACCTCTGCACTAAACTCCAACTACGCTATTGTCCTGTTTCCTAATAATCGTAACAAATTAGCCAGCAAAAAAACGGCTCGAATTCGTCTGTCTAACAGTTTTCCCTGTTTACGTAGAATATCAACTTGGATTGAATAATAAAAAATAATTCTCGCGCCTTTCACCCAAAAACAGTTAAGAGTACCATCCCGTTAAAAGTCAGCTCAATAGAACAACATCGATTTCCACATGCACCATTCTAGTTTGAACGAGGAGACCCTGCACCTCGCTTTCAAGTCAGCGCTGTTACAATATGGGTCTTGAGAAGTTTTTTAGCTTTTTTTTTTAATAATAATTGTATCGAGTTTACGTGATCTTTGAAAAAAAAAATGCGCGTATCCCAAATAATTTAGTTTTGCGTATTCTCTAAAAGACATACTCTCCAGTACATTTATGTATGCTTTGGAACGGCGATAAGTGCGGACCTCACTAATCTATATATGTCGATATACCTAACTGTGTGCACACGAAAGGATGACGTAGCTTTTGAAAAAACGTTGAATTTTCATAGATTGAATATATCTACGTTGACATTGTTTAAAAGGAAATCTTAAACTAGGCTGTCATCAACAATACGAAACATTTATAGCTGTCTTCATAAGATCGTTTTCATAGTAAGAATGCTGAGGATATTTTTTATATACACCTTATATACCAAAGTTTTTTGCCTTAAACATTAAATACAAACATATCAATTTTTTATTGTTATTTAAAAGTTTTGCTTTTGAAAAGCTCTGCAAACCAACATTTTTTTTGAAATTTCGAACAAAGCCAGACTAAATTATCTAGTTATTGTTCAGCTGTAGCTAACCTGATGGCATTGTTGGGCTGGCAAAGTAACCTTGCCTAATTGGGCTAAAACGATTTAAAGAACTTAATAATTTTCCTTGAAGTCAGCTTTTTCAAAAGCCATTTAAAAAGTGACTAAAAAGGTGTGCACAAATAAAAACCACAAACAATAATTACTCAAGCTGTACAAAGCGTTGCTTTTCCTTGCAATGAACCCCACTACACAATGATGGTACCTGCACTTATGCAGACAGATACACTGCGTTGTTAAACCTATACTGAGAAGTTCAGCTTGAGATATTATTGAGACTTTACATTTTGAGGCATAATGTTTTATGGGCAACCGATACCTATAAATTATATTCGTATGAGGTATGAGTATGAGATAATTACTCGGGAAGCTGACATCTTGCAAGACTTACGTAATTATCACAGTCTACTGTTACAGTTGCTAATACAGGCATGTGCCATACGCTTGCATTAGCGGCTACAAGTAGACTTCACGATGTGAACTTTTCAAAGAATCTTTGCTGGAATTTTTCGCAATGATGACCAAAAAGCTCAGTCACAATCTGCTACGCTATATATGGCAGGTAAATACCAAGGCGTTCGTGTATGACGAAACAAATTGAGGCTTCTGAAAGCATTACCGGGTAACAACGTAACGTGAACAAGCTGCCCAATTACATCATTTGCGCGTAGTGATATATATGGGTCTAACAAGATACAGTACTTATATTGTACTCTGTCAATGCTTCTCAACCAAAATACGATTAAATAGGGTACAATAATCTTGACTACTTTAAATTATAGACATTAGTGGGAAGGCAGTTTATCATTAATTAGTTTAGGCTATGCCGCTCCCTGAACTAAATTGATTCTACCGCGTAACAATTTACCCTACCAATATGGAGGTTTATTAAATTGACATTATTGTTACTGCAAGCACACCCAAAACCTGGTGATGTCCCACCCCACAGCGAAAAAAACGGTGTAGCGTTAACTTCCATCATAAAATTAGGATCCTTTCAACCTGAGCCTTTCAACTTAAATTTGTCCCTCTAATATTGAGGCTGGCTTTTGATGGCAACTAATAACCTAGCAATCGAAGCTTTATTGGCAAGGAGAAAAGCAATGCCTTATACGATGGTATTATTGAAACGCTTCTCCCGAACATGTTCAACTTTCATGTTACATAGTTATGCCATTTTTGTGAACAATAACACCACTAATATCCCTCAAAATTTCGATCTGTCGAATCATGCATTTTACTAAGGTGACCCAATCAGAGGTTAGCCACGCAGTATATTTCTACTACATACAGCAGGTGATACAGGTGCTACTGTGTGCACAGCACATATGTATTAATTGCCTACCCTTTTTAACCGGCGTTCTCGTTGAAGCTTTCGTTTTTGCCGTCTTCTTTCGTTTCTTCATGGCTCCCGAATCGTCGCTGTCACCACCAGCTCCCCAATCGTCGTCATCAGAAGCAGTCTGGCGAACCATTTACACAGATTTCAGGTTAGTTGAAACATCTGTAATCTCCATCATAGGCCGATGATCAAAGAGCGAGCTTTTTAATCGAATGATGAGCTTTACATGTGTGTTGACCAATAAGCGCCAGTCAAACAAACACTATTGATATGCGAGGAAGTCCGTGTGATGCGCAATGATTGCCTATGTAAACATTCGTATAATTTAATTTCGCTAGAAGTTATTCCAGACAGTCACAGCCAACAATCTCCCAATGCTATTTGACCACTACGTAATATTGTCGGGTTTTTTTTTGTTACCATTTAGTATTTTGCCGTCAGAGATCGACGTGCAGCATCAGCGGTTTGACCCAATTTTGTTGCGCCCAAATTGTATAAACGAGCTGGTCACAGCTTCAATTGGATATTCACCCTACCTTAAACTTATTCTTGTGTGCCTTCATCTTGCTCTTGGCCTTGTACCTTTCCAATTTTTTGCTCAATGGCTCGTCTGAATCACTGGTTGACCCATAGCCAGTTTCCTGACTTATACTTTGGTCTTCGAGTCTTGCCCGCTTCCGCGCGCGTTCCAACGTCTTGGCTAGTGGCTCTTCGTCGCTGTCCTCTGATTGACTGTCTTCATTGTTATCCGAACTGCTCCCTGTAGTGGCACTGTTTTCGATAGGCTCCACTTTGAACGCTAGTCGGCTTGACTTCGCCCCTTTCATTCGATCATCACCCCCATTATGCTCGTTGCCCACATTAACACCAGCTTCGGCATCATCATCATCATCACCACCATCATCATCATCATCACTCGTATCATTACCATCCACATCCATCTTGCAGTCATCATCATCATCATCATCACCATGATCGGAATCGCTATCATCTGTGCCGTGAGAATGCTAGGAAAGCGATGGCAATTTCAACAAACGTCATTTTTCTCTTAACTCGCTCGCCCAGTAGACATACAATTGTGATCTTTTGAGAAGCAAAGGGTACATGCACTTTGCAAACATACATCAAGCATACTTCGTAAATACACACGGCCGACAGGAACGAACTTTCGAAAAAAGCCACGAGTTTCTCAAATGATTACGATCGCATGCGATGTAGGCAGCACGTTGTCAGCAACGTTCGCTATCAGCGACAAGGCACACGTCTACTTTCGCAGTTCACACTCCCTAACAAGACACGCAGAATAGAACAGCTTTGAGGCATGCAAATAGGTGAACAGGCACCGTATCAGTGCGCGTAGATCTAGCTCATTCAACCGAACACGTATTCACTCACCTTGCGTTTTTTACCGGTTCTGCTTTTGGCCGCTTGTGCTTTTTTCACTCTGCTGAGCTTCTTCGAGAGTGGCTCATCATCCGATTCGTCAGCGCTTTCTTGTGAAGCTTCGATTTTGGTCTGCCGGACACGCGCTAGTTTTGCGGCCAACGGCTCATTATCTGAATCATCCTCTTGCGCGTCCTTTTCGGCATCTTCCGGTTCACTGCCCTCCTCCTCCTTGAGAGTTAGCTTGCCTTCATCGGCGCCACTATCTGCCTCGTCGGCATCATCATCATCGTCCTCGTCCTGCTGTTCCATCGATTCGTCCTTATCCTCCTCCTTGACAGTTTCGGAGACGAGCGTCATTGTCATACGAGGCATAGGTTGTTCGCACCTCATAGGTGAGTCGGGCTCAGTCTTAACGGCCATATCAGGCTCGAGTCCGTTAGCGAGCGTTGAACCGAGTTCCATACTGTACTCATCGTCGAATCGAGCATCGCTACCAGAACCATTATTATTGTTTGGAGGTGGACCGCCGTTCTTCATTCGATCAGCCTCCTCTTTTTCGCGCTTCTCTCGTCCTTTTCGTTCTCGCCGCTCCTGGTCCTTCTCCCGGTCTCTGTGCGATGACGAGTGATGGCGATCCTTTTCTCTGTCTTTCTCAGACCTGTGGTGACTGGACGAGTGTTTGTCCTTATGGTGCGACGACGACGAAGAATGTCGATCTTTGTCCTTGCTTTTCGACGAGGTTGAGTGCCGGTCTTTGTCTTTTTCTCTATCCCTATCCTTGTCCTTAGATGAAGATGAGTGTGACTTCCGTTCCTTATCCTTGTCCTTGCCATCGGAAGACCGATGCTTGTCTTTTTCTTTGTCTTTGTCCGACGACCGATGTTTGTCCTTATCCCGATCTTTGTCCTTGTCTGATCGGTGCTTATCTTTATCCGACGATCGATGTTTATCCCGATGTCGGTCTTTATCCTTGTCCGCCCGTTCCTTGTCCCTATCAGATCGGTGCCGGTCTTTCTCTTTATCTAAGCGATGTCGATCCTTGTCCTTATCTGATCGATGGCGATCTTTGTCTTTTGAAGAGGAGTGATGCGACGAAGATGATCGGTGCTTATCCTATAACAATGCAACATATGTGCACACTTATTGGGTATAATTACAGGACAAACTGCACACAGGAGTACGATAAAGTTTAGTGTTGCTATTTGGATTTTCATACGCTTACAAACCGTTAAAAATGTACGTCATCTACAGTAATAAGAGCTTGTTCCTTAATCGAAGAATTAATAAACATATGTTTCTGATTAGTGTTAAGATTGAACGTAAGTGGATGGACGAGTTTACAAGTAGTAGAAAAAGTATGGAATGATTTAGTTAAAAGAATATGTCTTAATTGAAAATAGAAGACTACACTAATCTGAATCGGGCGAAGGATCAAAGTCTAAACTTATTTCAAAAGCATCATTATGGCCGTACGTAAGTAAACTATGAACCTACGTATTGTAGATTATGTACGTTAAAGTGAGAATTGACAATCGCTAATGTTACTATTACTAATTTAATGACGGTGATAATATATATATATATATATGTGTGAGTGTGTGTAGTCTATCGATCTTCCCAGTTGGAATATTACCGTCGCAAAATCTTTATCGAGAAAGAGAATGAAATAATGCAACTTTCGAGATTAGAAACAGAAAAAGGGGCCGCAGGCTGTTATAACAAACTTTAACAAAACTCCATTGTAAATAAATTCGTCGCTGTTCGAGTTCTAGGGATATGCAAGCTAAATTATTCGAGTAAGGCATCTGTGAGTGGTTGCTTGCCTTATCTTTTGACGATGATGAGTGTTTGTCTTTGCTTCGTTGATGATCTTTGTCTTTTGCAGATGAGTCCCGATGTCCCGATGACGAGTGCCTCTTCTCGTCATTTTTATGGGCGTCCCCATTTTCGATACTACCGTTAATGTGGCCGTTCTCTGTAAAACACATAATAACAGAGAACATACAGTTCAGAAGAAGAAGCTAGTTAGGGTTCTACCTATTCTACGAAGGTTTCGATTCGACTCACAGAGCTCTCTCTTATAATATATACGCTTCTGCATTACGTATCAGCGGTAATACTGATTAATAATAAACTGATTCGCCAATTGTTTTTTCTCTCAATAAATGTAGAAAAAAAATTTTCTACATTCATAAAAATAGTCGTTATCTCACTATTACAAATTCCTTCATGATGGGCAGAATGTTTTTAGTTCGTGCGCGGTTCAATAACTTTAGTCACATCAAAACCAATAAATTTGTTGCCGTTGGCTCTTTATGCCAAATTGTTTTTATACATTGTACAATGTAAAGTGAAAGTTAACATGGAAATCATTTCGAATTGGCACATAACTAATTTCTGAAGATGATTAATTAATGCAGGTAATAACATAAAAGGAGTTCAGAACTAATCTTTTAGTTTCTTCTCGAATGTGATAAAGAGGCAATTTCCAACGGTATTCAGCTGAATGAGTAGTTATTGGTGTTAGCGTAATACAGTTGTTACTAACAAAAATGCTATTTTATAATTATGACTATTATGCGATACTGGACGATATATTTATTTACTTAAATTCTAATAGCAACTTTGAGATCAGAAGCACAAATTCAATAGTAGTATATGTTGTTACGGAACAGATTTTTTTTTTGAAAAACGATTCATTTTCCACCTATTTAAAGCTATCTAGCGAAAAAAAAAAAAAAAAAAGACCGCTCTTTTAAAGTTATCTGTAGCAATAAACCTCGTAAATAGTTGATTATAACTCAAAGCTAAGATTAGATTACGTTTCCCTTGGCGCTACACCATCGAAGCGTACACTTAGTTTGATATTTTGCAAAAAAAAAAAAACAATATTTTCGAGTTGATTTGTCTTTTACCCGCATTGGCATCGATTGTCCGCAACGCTGTCGCGTACTGCCACTATATGGCAACGCCAGTCGTCGAAAATACTTCGAATGACTAAGAGGTATATAGCAGGCCGCGAAAAATACATAGTTTAATCCTTAATTCCGCAGTATTGGTCATTTAAACTTTACCACCGTAAGGCTCTTGTCAAGTCCGACAGCGCCAACGCCAATACAGTCTAACATTAGCCGTTTGTACCGTTTATTGTTGAAACTTCTTTACTGCAGCACCCAAATATATGAGAATTGAAAACAAACCAATTTTGGGCCGAAACTTGTTAATGTTTAATTGAGCCATTTTTTAGCTCAAAAGAAAAAAATATTTCTGACACTAGCTAACATGATAGAACGAATATAAGCTACTCCGCACTGAAGAAAACGATTTTTTCGGGACTTTACCTTTTTTATCGGTGACAGCCTCGGTTGAAGCCTGAAAGGGAAGCCCGATTACGGATACAGAATTAGTTCTTAATTCATTTTGCCTTCTCTTTTGACAGGAAAGGTGAATGATAAACAAACATGATCAAAACCGGTATTCCGTTGCGCTGACTTCATACACTTTTCTATAATTATGGAAATATGAAAACGTATGCATGAATTACATGTTGCATAGTTCAAATACGAATTCGCTCATCGTGTGTTGTAACTGTTCATATGAACTTCTTTAAATAAAAGACCAAACTCGGACTGTTTGGTCCGATTTCACCATTCCCTAAATATCAAACTCATTAAATATTATTGCTTTATTGCATCGTTATACCGCAACGGCTAACTTGTATTATTACCTAATAAAACAGCGTTATGTTACTTTTAAGTAGCAAAAATAATCACCGACAACTATACGGTATTGTTCAGTAGATTAGTCGGACATAAGACACATGCTTAGCATTTAATGCCAATTACATGGGTTATGCGTCCTTGCCATAACATCCTGCCTGAGTTGGGGAAAATTTCTAACGGTGATTTCCATCGATCACATTGTGAGTGAGGCTTATTATAATCTCTGTTTTCTTCTATGTATACAAACGAAAAATATCCTCCCTTTGTAGTCTTAGGTATTCCAACATACATACTCGAATGAAAATATAACAGAACTAATATTTCTGAGTAGGTTACGAAATGGAAATCGTTTTGCGCTTGCCCATACACTTCAAAGTATGTACCATTTTTTTCTTACCATTCTCTTAATTTAACTGAACTGCTCGGTTCGAGATCCGTGCATTTCATTTAATACACTTATGTTCCATTCGACCTAGTTCAGGTTTACTCTAGGATCCACCGCATTTACTGTTTAATGGCGATGTGCCATGGACACCTAATGTAAATACATATGCTAAGTGCTAAATAAACGTAACCATTTAGCACTTAGCGCATGTAAGCACAGACAAAAGAAAACAAAGTTTATTTAATTTAGAACAAATCACTTATTTGGCTGCGTTTCACTTAAAACGAAAATGCGTGATCTGAAGATATGGTCCCAACCAGCGAGCGATTGGTTTTCCAATGAAGCGTAAGGACCACAGGGAACCGATAGATAGCTGGCTTTTAGTTAAACGTTTTTCGCTTACAGTCGCTGCATAGCACAGCTCTTGTTTGCTCGAACCTCTCTTCGGCTGATGATGAAGACTCCTGAGAGAGTCGTCCTTTTTAAACTTGGCCGGCTTCGTGCTACTTAAACGAATAATTTCCTAAAACTGCGCTAGTTTATATCGGCTGAGGTGCTTTTACAGCAAATATAGGTTATTACCTTATTTTCAAAACAAATGTGGATCTTCTCTCGTGTCCTTGAAGACACTTCTTCTTTATGTTATTAGTGTGCAACGGCAAAGCCATGTACTATACCTAGACGTAACAGTTACAGTGCTGACTCGAGTTAACTGGAATAAGTTGGAATAAATGGCGACGCTCTAGGATCAGAAGGACTTCAGCAGAAAAAAACGAAAACTGCCTGCTGCTAAGACTAACAGAACCGCTTTTACATCAAAAAAAGCGGCTTATGTCATGTCTGTTTCCGTCAATCTAGGCTAATAATGCCCACCATGCGAATAATTGGTTCTACCAGCAATAGACGCCAAACTGATACTACGTGAGGGAAAAGCAGCAGTGAATGGAATCGCGTTGTAGTAAGTGAACCCGTTCTGTTCTGGAAACAGGTGAGGACCAAACAACAACACGGGTCATTGCTAAGTTGCCGGCCATCGGCTGATAAACGCCGATGACCGAATGGCGACTCCGGGGCTGCTTTTCTGATTCTAATGTTATCGCCGTTGCCGCTGTCATTAACGCTACTACCAAAAGTTTATTAAATTGTCTTTACTCATCCTAGGGTTTGTCCTTCCCTGGACACAGTTTTGTCGTGTTGTGTTCCGTCCCTTTTACCTGACGGCCGCAGTAAAATGGCAGAACGTCGCCACCGAAATGTTGGACGAGCAGAGTTAGTGACAAAACGATCCGTCCGTGCGATCCAAATTTCGATCGAATTTCTTCAACGATCGAGTCTACCGCAAAGAAACGGGACCAAAAGGGAACATCAGCCACCAAGCAAAACAAGTAATCGTGAACAGGTGGAATTTTAAATATCCTTGCTAGTGGTTTCCTATTTATCAATGGCCCGCCTAAGCAGCTGATCCGCAAAAGTTTAATAATAATAATAATCCTCAATTTACTATTATTACTATTAGATTTACTCTTCCTTCAATGAGGCTAACTTGTGAAAAAAAGTAGAGCTCGAATTATTTTGATTGCAGTCTACTAAGCATTAGCTTTGTATTAGCAATTAGCTGACGATTTCTAGGATGTTTTGGTCAAACAAGCTAAGTATAACAAACACAAAACAAACTTTCTAGGTTTAAAAATAACGTTGAACGGCAACCCGTCAATTGATTGATACGTTATTAAAAAATAAATTGCGTCAGCACACGTTCGTTGCTCATTTTATTAATGTAATGAATATTTCACCTTGGGAAGACAAGAGAAAATGTACATATCGTTTGATTGGTCTCAACTAACCCATTATCGCGGTAGAAATTTAAAATAGAAGCAAATGAAAGTATATGTTTCTCGAGTAGGTTCTCAACTACTTCAATACTTTTTTCCTCTATTTAAATGATTTTTTTGACTTTGCAGAAGTGGAAATATTAGAGGTATCTTAACCTCTGTCGATTGAGCATCAGCTGGTTTGAGAAGACAGAACAGTGCATTTGTTGTTGTTGTTGTTGTTGCAAACCCATCTTGGTGTGTCACGACTATTCTTTGGTAAGCGTATTCTGTAACACATTTTTCAAAAAACTTTCGTAGAAAATTTTTATAATATGACCATCTGAAATGTCACTTAGTCGTATATTCAAATTAGCAGTTCTTTTAGCTAAGCCTAATGTAGGGATGAAACGGGGATAAGCGGTGGAAAATTTCTCTTAATTGGGTCTTTTTCAATACCGCCACCAGAAACAGATGTATATTAAAGTTTCAGCCGACATACATGCGGGTAGAAATTGGTACTGGCTTAAATGGTCTTAGCGTATCTAAGAGGAGTTATGCTAGCGCCGGTTAGTTTGCTTTTTGCCTAGCCACAAGTGGATGTCATCGATGTTATGAATTCAAGGCGAAAAGAAGACGTTTCTCACATAGATAGTGTACTGTCCTCTAAGTACTTTCTTTGGAAAATTAACAAATGTGCAATGTTCAATATTCGGTAACCAGTTTGCAGGTAAGCAACCTCATTTGTCCTTTTGACTTCATTCGACTTCAATAGAAAGGACACCACACCATCATCGAATAGATATTATCGCTCTCTGCTCATTAAGGTTTCTATAATACAGTTTGACAGAGCATCTTACGCTCGAATAGCAAAGATGATTCCCAAGAAGTCGGATACGAGAGCATACGTACGGAACCGATTCGAAAGTGAATAACATCCAACACAAAAAGAATTGTCCAAGTGCTTTCTATCTTCCCGCCTAAGGTGATATGCAAGGCGCTAGGAATCGATCAATCCAATCGCACTGTTGTTTTTCTTCTACCGGTGAATTCAACCTTGTGAGATCTCTAAGATTCCTGAACGACGGAAATGATTATCACAACTTACACGCATCCGCCCGCAAGTCGCCCTAACGTGTAGGTAACACAGATGAACTCTGAAATACGTTACACATGTAACTGCACCCTAGGGCACAAAAAAAACGCCCTGTGTAGCATAAGATGCGGCTATCGAAATCCCCCCACCGTACCCCAGCTTTCCATGCGTATCTACACTAACCGACATCTTTCTCTGACCAAACCCCCAAACAGCACTAAGCAAAGTAACTTCAGTTCTGATAAGAATCACCGGCAGGCAAAGCTATTTTAATTCATTTCGATATACTTTATACGAACAAACCTTCTAAGCGAGCTTGCCGACTGGGTGGCTTGCTCGTCAGGCATTGCCTCCCTGCCTGGGGTCGTCTGTCTGTCTGCTATGGCTGTTCTTGTTAGCTGTTGCCGCACGCAGATCGAACGGGACTTAGAAAATTTTCACCCAACCATTTTTCGATTTTCGTTAAATCCGGCCAAAACGGCTTACTTCAACCTGTATCCAACCAGCTATCCACTATATGCACATCACCTACGATCATTCTAGAGCGGTTTGATGGCTGGACAAGCCACACGTTTAGGCCTACCGTCGGAAGCGGTGTGTTGGGACTTATAAAATTTCGGCCAAAATTGGCCGAAATTACTAACGATATCTCGAACTCCTCACCATTTTGGCTGTGCACCCGTCCCTATCCTTCACTGGATCGTTGAGGGCGACGATTTCCAACACAAAACTGGGCGAAAATTGCACGGCGTGGGGCTCTAGCCAGATAAGCTGGCCGAGGGGACTTAGACTCGGCACAACACACGAGTAAGTAGCTATACTACAGTCGGTCGAGCTGCTGCGGGTGGCTGAAGCAGCAGCAGCAGCAGCAGCACCGAGCCACCAATATGAGCACAAAGCAAATCGTCGCCAGCCACACAGCATTAGCAGGCTGCTTGGCTGGCTGAAGCAGACACACAAGCCGCTGCTGCTGCTGCCAGGCTAGCAGCAACAGCAGCAGCAGCAGCGGCGGCGGCGGTGGCGGCGGCGGCGGCAGTGGTACAACGCGCACATGGGCAGTAACACAGAAAGACAGACGGAAAACCCGTGCCGTTAGTGAGAACAGATCGGCCCAGATCGATGTATTCGTCCATCTGCCAAACTGATTGACGGAGTGTTCTATCGATTGTTCATCGTCACGTCGAAGCGATTGCCGCATCGTAGTGCTGAATACGTTGTTGACATTTGGGAAATCGAGGGAATCGAAGATTTACGATACTTTTCTACGAGATGCAACATGGAAAAGTCTAGTGCTTGACGAGTGTTTACTTCGTGGTTTAATTTCTAGCTGATTTTATGGGTAAACTGGATGGTCTATCTGCAGCAACGCCACAGGAAGCGCTCTATCGGTTCGAACTGAAGTTATTGCTTCGCACGTTTTTGTCAGTTGAGTTGTTGTCTGAACTTACCTCACCAACGGTCTGACCGACGTCCACGTCCGCCGACGTCATTTTGCAAAATCTTGATGTTGGTGCTGCGACAACTCTCGTTGACTTTACGAGCACGAGACGCAAAATACACTTGCAACAAAAAAGGTGGTAGTGGTGGCGATGATGATGATGACGACGACGACGATTCACTTCAACACTGAGAACGAGGAATTTCTTTCCCTTCAATTTGACTTGGAGTTAACTGAGTCGGCGCCGGCTCGCCAATGGTAAGCACTAGTGCACAGCAAAAATAGCACACGCCGCTCCGTAGGCAACTGTAGACCGTTCTCCGTCGTAAGGCTGATTTTTCCGATTTCTGACCAATTTCTAATAGCACAATCATTTACCTTTGGCTGCTATCAGCTCCGACACAACTATCACCGGGTCCAGCAGCACCTGCTATAACTGGCAGCAGTAGCAATAGCAGTTGCGGTGACCCAACAACTGCACCAGTAGCCACCGGTCAAACACCGAAGGGAGCAAGCGAGTGTTATCGGACCAGCCGAAGCCGGCGGCAGGCGACTACCGGCGGACCAGATCGACGACTACTTTACCAGCACCAGCTTCACCCCCCACCGCCGCCCCCACTGACGACAGCAGCAGCAGCGGCAGCAGCAGCAGCAGCGGCAGAAATACTAGAACAGAGCAATCACAACACAACGAGAGGTCTGCGAGACAGTCGACTTGGAGCGGCAGCAACTGCCGCCTACTACCAGCAGCGCACACGACAGAGTGTGTCGGTCTGCTACAGAGATCACCACTGAAAGCAACAATAATAGAGTAGACGTAGGATAGATTCGAATAGAACTTAAAAGAGCAATAGCGAGAGCAGCCCACTCGTGTACTGCTGCAGCTGACTACGTCTGTCGCAGCAGAGGCGGCAGCGGTAATTGTTCACGAACCGAACAAATATGTAAACGGTACCGCCGGGTGTGGGGGAGAGAGGCAACAGTACGTTCATCAACGACGGACGACAGACGATGACGATACAACTCAGTGACAGTAAACGGGACAGCGGCGGTATCGTCTGTCGGCGACACCACCGGTCGACGACAGCTGCTACAACAGTAGCAGCCGCGTAACAGTGCCGGCAACAATGACACACTATTGCAGTTGTCTGCTTGCGTTATTTTGCTACTATGAGAAGTAAAACGACGACCGGCTGCGGCTGAGAACAGCAGGAGCAGCGGCAATGGGGATAGCCGACACAACGTGGCGCGCTTAACTTCGTCTCTTTTCCTATTCCTATTGGTTTCCTAGCGCTGGCTAGGTTGCTTGCTTCTGTTAGTGCCGGCGAACAATGATCGCAGAGTACCACTTCTCAGTGGTACTGTGGGGGTCTCGGTTGTCGACGGCCGCGGCCTCTAGCCACTTCCTTTCGCTAACTGGCCGCTGCAGCAGCAAGAGCGAGTGTTGTACTTCTAGATGCCAGTTAACGAACTCGCTCTATTTCATGCTGTCTGTGTCTCGTGCAACGGCGTCAGCTTGCTCGTCCATCCGTCCGTCGCCGCCCAATGAGGTGCTGCCGTCTTGTGCTGCTCACCAGCGGCGACAGCAACCAAACTACGAAACATCGGCGGCGGCGGCGCCGGCGGCTGCAGCAGGAGTAACACAAATCGAGTTGCCGACACTCAGCAACGACTACAACTTGTATCCTCAATCACCAGCTATTAAAGAGGCGAGCCATGAAACGGAACGCTAAGTCAGGTTCGGGCGCATGCGCATCACGGTGTGGTTAACAGCGAGCTGGTGGTCGAAAGGAAGATCCGAAGGAGAAGCGTAACTGGCAAAAAAGAAAAAGACGTAAGATCTTTGCGAGATTTTATTATAGCTAACTGCGATGTACCCCGACATAACAACTGAGATTCCTGGCCTTTGATATACACATCGCTATATGTTGGTATCGTAAACCGAAGTGGTTAAGCGCAACGGCATAGATTTCTGTCTGGGTCGGACCTGTCCATGCTGAAGAAAAAAATGCATTGAAGCAAATGAAGTACTAGATGCCTACGGGCGGTAAATGGCGAAGTCCAAATCTACAGTCAGGCTGGTATTGCTGCATCGAAAATTGCGAAAGGATGTTTTGTAGTGGGCGTGATTTAGGTTGAATATATTGACACTTTTCTTAACACGGATCTGTAGATGAATACAAGTCAGTTGCGCTCGTCTTTCAAGTTGACCCTCTAAACGGCGAAATTATGTTTCATTGAGAGATCTGCCCTGACGGACCTGCCCGCTACTCGAGCCGCTTCCCGCTGGAAGAGTTGGAATCGCCAAGTTTGAATTAACCCCGCCAACAAAGCTACTGAGATCTCAGTTTGTAAACGCGCCTGCTACTTTTCTTCAGGATGCCTGGCGGATTACTCAATTTGTATGAAGTTGATTAGATTCGAATAACGTATATCATGCGAAATGCTTTGATGGTCCTATATTCAAATATAGATGTTGCAATGTAGCGTTTCGAATTTGTATATATACAGTGTTTGACTAATATTAGCAAGCGTAAAGAAATTAAATTTTAATTTCATGAGTACTTTATGTGGAAAGTATGAAGGATCAAATCAGGCCGGGGCTAGAATGAGGTGTGACCTGAAGGATCAGCTTGATTTGGATAAACCCCGATCTCACAATAAAAAGACGGCCCAAGTTTGAGGTACACGTTTTGCATCACTGAAAAGTATTTGAAGTGAGTGATTACTTAATAAGACATAAACTTTGACTATGGGTAAACGGATCGCGTCACCGGTCAGCTTAGTGAATTAAGACGACACCGACTCTAAATTAATATCGACTCGTTAATGGGGCTCCCCAACAGTTCGATAATTAATTACGGCTGCAACTTATTTTTCGCCACTTATTGCTTATGTTAAAATGCCGGTACATTAAGTGTCGAACGAGATGAAAGTTATGCTTAAAGTGATTTGCACTTCCATAGAGTATAAGAGAGAAAGCATAGTACGGCATTGCAGACAAGGGGACAATAGATATACCGGAAGAGATCAAGTAATAGCTGTAATATAAATTTACGTCTTGCTGAATAACTTTTGCGAGCTAATAAAGACATACGGTATTGCGTTCTACTTAACGTTATTAATTTCGAGACGTTTACTATACGACTAACTGAAACTAGTTACTAAAATGAAAATTATATTTTTAATGGATACGTTAAATAATGAGGATCGAAATAAAAAAAATAAAACTAATCTAGTTAGATGAAGATTCGGTAAAAGATCTGTGTGAAATATGCTTGGATTTTATTAGCGGGACAGACAGATACCTGAACAGTACATTTGATAAAGACAGCAACGTCAAAATTGTCAAACGTGGCATCTGCTATTGGCAGAATGAGCAAAAAGTACTATGTTAAATGCGTGTGCGAGAAATAAAGAAATATGGCTTTTAGAGAAAGTGATTATTGTTAAGCAATTTAAAACCAATTTTATGAAGCGGGAAAAATGTCTCGCTGAATTTTGTTTTTACTAATAGTTTCAGTTCAAGTGGAAGTTTGTTATTAGGCCAAGGTCTTTGACTATCGGAGTTTAACTTTCCATAAAAAAAAACCCTTGGGATCTGTTGTGTGGTTAACACTTTCGAAATAGGTTAAAATAAAAACTACAACATAGTAATATCTTCAACAGGTGTTGATGACAATGCAGTAACGAGAATGTTCTGAGAGGTAAATAAGACAACAGCTGGGCAGAAAAACGAAACTGTTTTGACAATTGCTTCAAAATCTGGGTTCTTCTTCAATTTGGGGATTCTTTCGATGGCCCGAAGCTTAAACTGATTTATGTACATAGAGACCGATCGTAAACCCAGACCTAGTCCGTCCACAAATGGTCTCAAATGATTTCAGTGTAACAACCCCTAACGATAAAACTAGAAAACAAAATCCTATATATTGCAATCAATATATGTATTTACGAAATGTGCTAAAATTATTGGGTCCAGTGTCCTTCAGCAAATTATTATTATTTTTTTTTTATATGCAACGGCGACATTTCACTACTTTTACTCTAGGTTTGGAAAAGTAAATCTATATGAGCCCAAACTCCACTTTGGGATAGTTTATATATTATAAATTAACCTAACGTAATGCTAGGTATATATTATAAGCATACACACTGACTGGTATGTAGAGATGCAAACAGAATGTTTTTGAATGCAAATGGGTTCAATGAACAGATATGTCCTGTGTTTGGTTGTTCTTATTAAGGTTTGCACAAATCGGTCCCTCTATCATTTTTTGTCAATCTAGTGATTACAATCTCAAAGATAATCAGAGTGCTATTTGAACGTATCAGTAATGATCAGTACCAGTTGGTAGTATCAATTTTGTATGAAATGATGCCTATCTCGCTGTTTATGAAACTTTAAAAAACAAAAACGTATACGGTTTGTATTAAGGAGGGCGGTCTACCAGGCTCTAGGCCGTTCAGTATTTAGTGAAAAAAAAAAGACACTTTTAAACCTGTTTCGACATAGGTGCGTGTTTAGCCGGGCACATAATTTTCAATGGTTTTTCAAAGTTTCATGTGTACTTCGACACCATAAAATTACGGCACTGCGTATGCGGCTGGTTTCGCTGCCACCCCGTTGTTTTCTCTCGCTATTAGTTGATTTGCAATCGGACAATAGCTGTAAGTAGCTGGAAGGTAGACTTACCGTGTGCAGGAAGTGGTCAAGCGGGAAATCGACTAAAGTTGTATTCAATTTAAGTTCGCCAGCGACCGTCAAATCCAGTTGCAACAAACTATTCAGGCGTGCCCTATTAACCATGTCTAGTGCTTATCGGGTGACCTAATACAGTAGCAAATAATAGCAGGAAATAGTGTTCAGTCCCAGGCTGATGGAGACTCTAAATTCTCAACATAATTCTAGCTAAATTCTTGACTATCTCGGATTAGATTTTACACACCGCAGATTACAGGGCTAGGATGTTTCGCGTATAGAACTATTATAGAGTTGTTCGTCTAACATTTATTTTCATCTTTAATTAATTTTTGCATTCATTATATAGGGATAAGCTTGAGAAAGTGAATTTGAAAAGTCCAGATTCTTAAATGGTTTTCTTTCCGCACAAATTAGACAGACTTTATCGTAGTGTTCAATATAAAAAATCAGCTCACTTTTGTGGCTTACGTGTATCTAGTAAAGGGCATGGGTCCTATTACATTTACAGGACGTCTTGACTTCGAGAAAGTTGTAATAATGTAACAGAATTCCTGCCAGTAGTGAAATTTCTCCACGCCAATGCTTCTGCAATTTTAGAATGGGGACTAATTGTTAGGACCGAGACGAACTTAGCAATACGGATTTGCACAAATTTCGATCGCTGGTGCTCGAACCGAGAACGATGTATTTCTTTTTGGTTAGCAACAAATACAGCAGCTTATGTTTGAATGCTTTTGGTTTATTATTCTGTATATACACAATACTTTGCCTGTGGTATTGTACTGTGTAACAGTTGTATGCTTTTTTTTTGTTTTTTTGACTGCACTAAACGCACAAGCATCTTCCTTTTCATAGCTGTCATACGATGTATAATTTATCGGTGAGCCCCTACATACAATAGGAACGTTATTAATTAAAACATGTTACTACAAGGACAAAAAGACTCACAAAAAATCGAGTATAATCCCCGTAGATTTCTACCAAGCGAAGTGAACTCATCGTACTTAAACGAAAAGCTTCAATAATATGTTTTCTAGATATACCTCATCCTATTAGAATCTGTATTATGCATACGCGCAACAATAGGGAATTCGTGGGGTTTTTAATTGAAGTAGTCAGAACATAATGGCACGATAAAGTATGTGTTCACCACAATAGGGCACCAGCGACATAAATAATTTATTAGTGGCAACTACCGCCTCAGGTACACAAATATGTGAGGTTAACGGCTTCATTCACCGATCTGTATGCTCAACTACTGTAGATGGAAATTTAATTATGTATTCTTTCTACACGAGCCACGGCTCGGTAGAAGGATTCCATTGCAGGTGGGAGATTTGCTATTTGTATTGCTTTGTCCGCCGTTAGTGATGCATTTTCGTGCACTATTTTGCCGATGGTACTTATGAGTGAACGGGTCTTCGCCGAAATTTCCTGCATCATAGGAGAAGCACCATTAGTATGTTCCCAATTCCACTCGCGACGACAAAGAACAAAATCCTAGCTGATTTTTTCTAGTATACATATTAAAACTATTCATCCCAGCACAATCATATTACACCCATTGTGTCTAGTATTTTCATATTAACACCAATATTCATAGATATTAAGTGGCTTATGATATTAAAGCCACTAGAATCGTGACTTTTTTTTCTTAAAACAGGAAGCATTGTCATCATTCTGCTTTTGAAAGGACATCACCTTTACTACATCCTTGTCAGAATATTGTCCGTTCTCGGCGCACCTAATAAGGAAAAGAGCGATGTCTTTATGAGTTTTACACCGTGCCAGAGCTTCTTTTGCTGATGGGGTAATCACAACCTCAGCTGAAGGCAACGACACCCATAAATCGCGAAGATCTTGATGCGCGGCGACGGACGCATCTGTGAAGCCTGCTAGGTACGATGTTTTACCTATGTAGAGTAAAACATTTAAGGACAGAACAGGATATTACCTGCTGGTCTTTGATAGCGCGTATAGAGAACCACATATTTTTATGGATGTGCAATTTTTACAGCATGCAGTAAGGTGAAATTTCCCAGTGCTACGAAGTCGCTATATCTCGCACGATAAATCACCTCTTCATTAAGGCGTTTATGCTAACTTTATTGATTGACGAACTTATTTTCGAGACCGTTTTGGCAGTTAAATTATATCGATAATCAAATACTTCACTTCTTTCTTATAAACAATTAAATTAAATACTGGCAGTCATTATGAAATGGTATCCTCCATTATTGTTAGTCAACGTTGTGAAGTACAACGACCGAATGAAATAAAAAAAATCACTAATACAAACACAGTGTACCCATACTTTTTCATTTTTTACAGCACGGCAACAATCTTTTTCTGTTTAGTTACATATACTACATATACATACATATAATACATTTTCACGAAATCCAAATCTACCTGCCATTTATAACTATTCACACATGGTCTTTATAGATTTAATTAAAAGCATCTCACTCAACTTTTCCTAATGTTTTTATGGAGATGCGCATGAAGTTTATTCAGTTCTAAAATTGTCGTCATCATAATCATATTTTAAGAAGCATCGAATCGGTAATTTGCGACTTCGCTGAAATTGATTTGAATAAAAAAGAGTGCAGAATGCAAAATTGTAACGCCGTTACCTTTAAGCAATTGCATATCATGTTCGGAATTACAGAGCAACGGGTACATATCAGTAAACGGACAGTCTCTATGGGCCATCAATGCAGCCATTGCAGAGAGTGCTCCGCGAAGAGCTCCCGGCGAATGATGGTAGACGATAACTCGAAGCCGCAATAAAAGTGCAGTGTAGATAAGGATGGTCTCCAACTGCAGGCATTGTACCAGTTCTGTAAACAACAATAGTTACCTAAGATCAATATAATGATTTGATAATTAAAAGTTCGCTTTGAGATTAAGTTTTATTGGCGTTCATTTTTAATGTCACACAACGCAATCCTTTTCCTTATAAATATATGCAAACATTAAAATTAAGTTACATTACGTTATTTAAGAGTTAAATTGCAGTTCAGGTGGACCGAACTACTACAAAAACAACACAAATAGGGATGAAGCTGTGACATTTAAAGCGCAGTAGAAATAGACGCTGTTGTGAGGCTTGATAAATTTGGACATCGTCGTACGCTGTATACCTTTAATTGGAACGCTTTCGGCAGGATCTGAGAATGTCTGTAAACTCAAGGTTACGTCACCCTGTTTGATCAGCTTCTCCGCTTGGGCAGACAAATACACTCGGAGGACATCCGGAGGCGAGCCTGAATCCAGATATGCCTGTGATAATATTAATAAAGGTGTTACTTTAGTTTAGCGGTACATCGACAAACAGCAGTTAGTTTTTGAAAGCGCTCATATTATTTTAACGCATATTGTTTAACATAAATCGGGCTCGTAGTTCGGACATATAAGCAGGTGCAATCATCTGGTTCTATTCTAATAGCAGCTGCCGTAGTAACACCTTCTGATATAGCCGTAGATATTTCTGTCAAACACTGAAGGGCTCTTCCCAAAAATTTGACGGATTTCTGTCAATCACTGAAGGGCTCTTCCCAAAAATTTGACGGATGTAAGAGAAGCGAATGGTTTTTAATTACGTAGAAAGGGGCGAAGGCCTTTCTGAAAACTAGCCACCGTTAGTGATACCAGGATTGTATTTTTATCTTGACAATAACCAAATCTTTTGTTCAATCAATTCTTTTTATAGTTGAGTTCGTGATAACCACAATTATTATTTTTTTTCATATATTTCTATCGGAACAATAAGCAGACCATTATTTTATTTTTTCTTGCAGTTATTCTAGAGCTTCATCTAAAGTTTTTTGAAGGCCGCTGAATAAAAAATGGTGTATGCAAAATGTGCAGGTATCAGGACTGTTATGTATCATTATGTAACAACAATGACGATCGTAAGCCGAAGTCATACGGATGTTATTTCATTCTTTACACCCTATTCACTTAAAAGGTGATTAGTAGTATGTGATGTGTCAAGTGACGATTTCCTCATCAAAACTAGTTTTGCTAAGGATTGTGACAGGCAAGGTGTCTGCTCCGAAGTTCTATTTTTGAAACCTAAAACTTCAACACTAAAATTGTCTCTGAACCTACTGAGCCTGTGCTATGTACATACCTCCGACAGAGCGGTTAAAACTCGGATGTATTTTTCCGGATGAAATTCGTCTGTCTTTAGCACGATAGCAGCTGAGAGAACGAACTGAAGAGGTCCCGAAGACGAGGATCCAGGCTGCGACAGCGTATAAAACCACGCCTCTGAGTCGAGATGTACCACTAGAAATTCACCAGCCTCAAAGGAAACTTTTGCTTGTACCGAAGACCTTTCCGATTTTTCTAGTGAAGGGAAGACCCAGCTCCATAGAATATCGTTGTTCGAGTCCTTTTCTAAAGTAATTGAAAAGATAATATCTAGCTTTAAGTACTATTTACTAAAAAAGAATAGTTGAGGTTGAACATAAAGAATTATTTACCTGTTGATGGGCGAAAAAATTGTTAAGGCTAATGTTAAGCTAGTTAGAGATGTGAACCTGGCCTAGCAATCCTAGCTAAAATGTATTCACCGCCAATCACAACAAAGCAACATAAAGGCACAATAATGTTTTCTCTAGTTTTGACACAGTCCATAAGGATCGAGGTATACCAATAACTATATACAAATATATCAGGCATCATCATAATCAATAAACCTAGTAATTCGGTTTACTTACCGAGAATAGCTACCGCTTTTAATAGCGGACTACCAGAATCCATGATTTACTTAAAAGCGGGCCCAACTTTATTATAGAGATTTTCTTAGCGAGGCACTCTGCGGGTGGTGCTCAATCTCCTCTGATTGAAACTCGCGCATCCAAATTTTTCGATGCGTGAACTCACATTGCTAACTGGAAGCAAACTGGATGTGCATCGAATCATCTGTTTTTACGATAATGTAGAGGGTAAAACAAAGGAAAAGATCCTTGTAGATCGGAGCTTACGTGAGGTAGACTTTTCAGTTCGGAAGCTTTCCTTTCTGACTGAGCTGCTGTACTCTCGCCCAGCTACTCTCCCCATGTTCATTGCTAACTGTGGCTTCATTGGCGACGATAAACTCCGTCAGCCCTTATTGTAGTTCGGTTCTCTGCGTGAACCATCTTATTGAGCCACAGCGGGCTGGCCGGGTGACTGGTGCAAGGAACATCCTTCGCCTGCCAAGGCAGTGGCGCTACCGGCGCCATGGCGAGAGCTCCGACGCCATTAGCTGAGAGGGAGCCCACGACAACATCAGCTAGAGGATAGAACGAATGGAGAGATCTAATATCAATCTTAGAACAGTTATTGTGGCCTAGTGGCCCCGCTGCATCCATTATTGGTATCCCATCCACAACATCCCGCTAAAAGTGCCTATTTTTCTGAAGCAGAAGCGCGGTTATATCCAACGGTAACTACTATAGACTTCACTGATGTATTTGTTGCCATACACAAGACTGTTGTTTTTATAGAGAGACGCTGTATTGGGAGAGGGCAATCGCGCTGCTTAACAAAAAGCAGCCTATAGAAGCCGCGAACAAATGCATTGCTGGACCATCGTCTCTCAACGGTGAACTCTCAGCGCTCAGCGTTCGATACTCAGCAAACAAAGTCAAAAGATCACCCTCTCCCATCTGCTGTCGGCCAGCTGCAGATAAAGCCTCTGCTAATCTTAGGCCCCGAGAGAACATCTAGAGGAGTATCATCGAGGTGCTTTAACCAGAAATAATGACGTCATGTAGATGTGCCAGCGGGCCAGCATTGCCTGTTCTCGTTGGCACGCTGGAGACATAGTGTAGGTGTTTGTGTGTGTGGTACGTATGAATATATTGATAAAGTTGTGAGCCCTCCTGTTTGTGTTGTTGTTGTTATTGTCGGGTGCTCCTCTCACAACGGCAAGCGTAAATGCTGTAACAGCGGCAACAGTTTTCGTCGTCAATGGACGGTCGGATCGCGTCTTCAAAATATAACATCGGTTAACGAATACAACAGGAGGAACCGCATCATTTGTTATAAGTAGTTCGTCGACCTATTCAGTCCTGCTTCCTTCTTACGTTTTAGGTCGATTTTTTTTTCTTTAGACGGGACCGAGAGAGAAGATGAAATTTTTCGAATATTCTGTTATTCTCTTACTTAGCAACGCTTGTGCTGGTTAGTCATAGATGTACTGTTGTAATTTAGTGCTGGGCATCCCAGACGGCTATTGCTAAATGTATCAACTCAGTGACAGTGTCTTATCCACTAGTCAGGAGATCGCTCTACTAATTCAAGCTTTTGTGTTCGTGGTAAACCTAACCGTAGTACAGGCAGAATTGTCATAGTATAGTCGACATGAGAAGTGCGTGAACTAAGTTGTGTTTAAGAGCGTGTACTGTTTGTGTGTTGGAAAGACATGAGCGTTAACGGTGCGAACTTCATTGATACAGTCATCTCGACCATAAATAGGTAAGATGAAATATCACCAACTAGGTAATTTAAGAGGAAGTTTATTTATGCAGAGTAACTTAACAGGAGAAAGTTGCTTCAACTTTTTCTAGCTTTAATATGCAGCCGAGTTAATTAATAGTTAATATTGAATTATATATATATGAATATGATATTTTATAAGTAATATTTCTGCCATATAATTCTGGCAAGTACAAAAATTGTTATATGGTTGAACAAAGACAAACTGTACAACAGAAATAGACCTCTCCTGGCGTGCACGACAAGAGATGTTGCTTGCAGCGCCACGAGAATTCCGTTAGCTAAATACCACTTTTCGACAGTTAGATGTTTCTTGGACAAACAGAGACAGCCGACCGATTTTTCGTTTCTGTTAACACTGGAAACCAAATTCACGAGCGCGTCTCTATGAGGAAACATCACAGCACACACACACACACACATATATATATATATATATTAAAAACAAATATATTAAGCCATGCATCACAACAGCCTGTTGCTTATGCATGAACACCTAACCTTCATTAAGGTGTCCACGTTTGTTTAAAGCAAAATAGAAGTGAACGATTCAACAATTTGCGTCATATCTAGCTAGCAGGTAATAAAGACACAAACGCTCGCAGCGGAGGGTTGTGAGGCCTGTTTTGTTTTCGTAGAGGACAGAAGCGCACATTCGGCAGCACAAAGTAAAACAAGGCGTTAATCTCTAATCAGCCCTGTGATGTTGATTATGCGCGCATTTTCGTTAAGCAGATTGCGCCAACAGGTTTTCTCGAAATCGTAGACTGGCCGGGTATCACATTTGTTCATTTTGAATACAAATTTTGAGTAGGGGAAAATAGATTTTGGCATTCCAACTTATTCAATGCTCTTTAAGAAATTTGAAAATGTCTTTAGAAAATATACCGCTCTCTTAAATAAGATCTATTCTTCATTCATAAAAATTTTGTTTGGCGGCGGTAGCCTTTTTGTCAGACCCTTATTATTACTCATGACGTCTTGTTTTCTAGATTCGATAAAAAATATCTGCCACCTTCTAATCATAACGTTTCGATTTAGTATAGATTTACTTATATGTCGATTGTGAAATCCATGGAACCCAGGCAACAAAAAAACGCATGCTGGTGAAGCTTTACGTCGTACTAACATTCAATTAACCAAAGAATTCAAATACAGTCGGAAATATGATTGTACTTTCTGTTTAATGAGTATAACTTAATCAGCATTTATTTTTCCGACTGTAGTAATTTAAAAATGGATAATCTTATCAATATTCGCATCAAAACACCCGAAATATCTATTTGCCTCTTACTACAACTAGCTTTGTTGGAAAACGCGCTGGAAGACGGTCTCGAGAGCCTTCCCCTATGAACCGTATTAGCCTAATTAGGCAACAATCAACCGATACGGTAACAAGCACTCTTGGCATGGCAACAAGTATTTTTTGAAAATTATGCGTATTGTCACATTTAGTTTTTACGTTTACATATAATAAATAGAGAAAGTTGCAGTATCGAAATACTTAATTGTTTTTGATGCTGTTGAAAAGCTGAAAAGTTAACTTCTAGAAGAACGACATCAAGTTGCAAGCTACTTAGGAGTGCACCGGCTATTGCTTGATTGAACTCAACACCTTTATGTGGTGGCATACGATGACAAAATAATGGACGACGTTTATCGTACAAACAAGTTTGATATATAT